TCTCCCCAAGAGCAGGCCAGAGGCCAAGTAAAATAGCATTCTAGGGGCTGGCCAGATATGCCCCCAAATAATAACCTTGTTATTGTACTGGGGACCAGGAGAGAATGCTAAGACAAAGAAATGGGCTCCACTGTCTAGGAGGAAGATGACCTTTCACTTTCCTACTATTATGGTTACCCAAGGCTCCTCAACATTGATGTTTGGAAGTGGAGCCTGGACAGGAGGCCCTGAAACCCATCAATCCATAGGAGGTGGCATCCTGCCTTCCACCTGGAGACAGGTCACTTAGACCTCCAGTGGTTACCTTTGCAGAGAGGGCAAGGTCCCAGTGAGGGCTGGGTCTGTCTCCTGGGCTGTCCCCCTCTTGGGCATTCTCTGCAGAAGTGCCCCTCCTGCCCACAATGGTAGCAAGCTCGGGATGTAGACCCTCATAGGGTGGGGCACTCCCTGAGAGCTACAATTAGGTCATGGAGTCTCTTATCCTTTTCTCTCTTTTTTAGTTACATCCTAGTTATAGTGTACAGACATGGCTAGTTTCATTAGTTGATCCAATGACTTTCCCCTTTAGCCACAGACTTTTGGAGTTTTCTATGGATATCTGGGGCTAACTGAAAAATTTATCCTTGAGGAGAACCTCTCCCACCTGTGACTCTGGATCCACTGTGGTATGTATGCTTTTGGATAGCATCCTTAAGATGCCGTAGAAAGGTAAGGGGGTTTTCATCAGGGCCTTGTACTACAGCCACCCAGGAATAGTTTAGAGGTTTAATTTTGGCCCTTTTTAGCCCTTGCACTATAAGATGGATGAAGTGGTGTCGATGCCATTCATCCCTCTCACCATTTTGATCCCAATTTGGGTCTGCCAAAGGGACTGCCTGTGGCCCCATGGGCATGGGCATATTTCTTCCCTCATTTCCAGGTGCCATGGGTATTGGGGCTCATTGTAGATGGAAATCGGCTTCAACTTGACTGGCCTGGGCCAGGACCTGTTGCTTTTCTAATGAGGAAAGAGTCTGGTCCAGGAGAAGCATGATGTCCTTGATGCCAATTCAAAGGTTTGGATCACAGAGATAAAGGCCTGGATGGACTGGTCTGGGGCATCAGTATAGCTGCCCAGATTTTTTTAAATCTCCCTTAGAGCTGATAACCGGAAGGGGACATAGACTCGCCCTCTTCCTACCACTGCCTGTTGAAGGGGGAACATCCATTAGGAGGTCTGAATATTGGGGTGGCTTAGAAGGTAGGGCAGAGAGTCGCGCAGTAGGGATGGGGGCCTTGTCACTGGTAAGAGGCTTTTTTGTCTTCCTTGCCCATGTTTATCCTGTGGCTTACAAAGAACAGCCAGTGTTTGAGTATCTACACAGCAATTATGGAGCCATTCTGGGTGGTCCTGGAGCTAAAAGAAAAGCTGTATATAGGACACCTCAGTCCACTTTTCCTCCCTTTTACAGAAAAGGTCTAATTGGACTATGGTATTATAATTTAAGGGGCCCTCTGAAGGCCAGTATTCTTGGTCACTCAAGGGATATTGAGGTCAGGCCTCAGTACAATAAAAGATGAGGGGTTTTTTTTCTTGAGATTAATAGGGTCAAGGTCCTTCCAACATTTTAGTAGATAGGCCAGCGGAGACTGCTTGGCTGAAAGACTGGAGGGGCAGGTCCCATCTAGAAAAACTTGTCAGACTTCCCTTTCTTCAGTGTCCCAACTGGGAATTGACCTGATGAGAGCAGGCATCTCTGTCTCCTGATTTCCTTCTGCTGTCTATGGCCAGGACCAAAGGAAATGTAGTAACTGGTAGGACTGCAGCCACCCTTACCTATGCAGTGAAAAACCTCTAGGATCCTGCCTTTTAGCCTTATATTACCAAAGGCAGGCAGCCTCTTTAACAAAGGCTACCTCTTTAACAAAAGGATGCATCACCTGGAGAAGTGCCTGTAAAGTTAGAAAAGGGTGCTCAGAGGGAGTCCCAGGGAAATCACCGTGCCACAAAGGGAGGACTGGTGTCAATATTTGAAGGAAAGTTTTTTATGCTGAGGCTGAAAGTGTGAGAAGTTTTTAATGAGAAGTCTAGAGACCATAGCAAAACCCATTTTTTTTTTTTTTTTTTTTGCTATTCCTGGAAGGTTACGTTAGTGCTTCTTGGGGTCCATAACATTGAGATAAGAATTGGCTCCAAGGGCTGGGTCAGTCAAGTTCAGGCGTGAGGTGGGGCAGGGAGCAGGGCTTGTGCAAGGCACCGCCACCCTCCCCCATGCCCTGGACCAGCGACCCTGTCTGCCCAGGCCTGCCTCTGCAGCACGTTGTACCTCCTCCTGTGTACTGGAACACTGTCAGCCACACAAAATCTCTCAGGTCACTGCCTTCAGCAGAAGGGGGTATTGACAGGTGGGAGAAGACAAAGATTGACAGGTGCCAAAACCAATCAGGTCTACTCCAACATAGCATAAGGTATACCCACATAAACCCCAGGCTCAGCCCACAGGGAGGGAGCCAAAAGTACCCCCAGAGCTGGAATTGCTGTGAGGCCAAAGTTGGCTAGCAGCTGTTGGTGTGATACCATGAGGGGAAAGTCCCTCAGGAAGACAGGAACAGAGAGACAGGGCAAGCAGCACAGGGAACTCATCCTCAGCAGAGTGTTTCCCCAGCAGGAGCATCCAGCAGGGCGCCAGAGGCTCACAGCCACACCTTAGGCAAACTCTTGCTGGTTTGGTGCTCAAGTCATACCAACCTTGGTCCAGGAGCAATGTCCCTTTGTGATCACCAGAAATGTTACATGCCGTGCCAGTGTGAAATGTTGCAGGCCGGTGTCAAGGGTTCTTGTCTTCACAGGCCAGAGAATGGCTCGTGAGGCCGCTGACTGACTTGTGAGACAAGACCGGTACACAAAGTGGGATTTATTAGAGAGAAAGGAAAGGCTGCAGCTAGAGCAGTGCAGCGGAGCCTGGAAACCAGTGGCTCCCTGCTCAGGTGAAGGCTGGGGGTTTTATGGATGCTTTAACTCTGGGTTAGGGTAGGGGTTAGGTGGGTTTTTTCCATTGGCCGTGGATTTGCATGTGTGGGCTCTCGTCGATGAGCTGGTCTGTTTGCCCCTTACTGGGGAAACAACCTTGAGAGCATTCTGTTGATTAGCCCTGTGGAAGATTTATAAGACTCCCTATCTCCTCCTCAGGGTGCAGGCTCATAGTGCTCTCCATGGGGGATGGGATACTGACTCACTCATCTGTCCCTTAGGTTCCCAGAGCCAACAGAGGGGATGACAGAACACCCCCCAGAAGTACACCTAAGAAAGGCCTGGGGCCTCAGGCAATACCAAATGGCATCTGACTTTAGACATGAAGATATTCGGTCTCCCAGGGAATTGTAGGTTTCTTAAGCTTGTAAGAAACTCCTCCCAGGTGAACAGCAGGTATCTGTCTGTAGGGTCCTAGTTGTACAGATTGTCCATTTGTTCCCTGGAGCTGGTGGCCACATAACAAAGAACATGGCCACTCTTCAGGAACTGGTCTGGAAACATCTCTAGGGTATAGCAAATAAAATAATAGGGGCTGGGCCCACGGTGGCGCATGCCTGTAATCCTAGCTACTCTCAAGGTAGAGATCAGAGGATCATGGTTTGAGGCCAGTCCAGGTAAAAAGTTAGCGAGACCCCTATTTCAACTAACAAGCCTGGCCTGGTGGCATGGACTTAGGATCCCAGCTAGGCCAGAGGCATAAGGAGGATTGTGGTTCAAGGCCGGCCCCCAGCGAAAATTTGAGACCCTATCTGGAAAAATGACTAAAAGCAAAAAGGGGCAGGGGGCATGGCTCAAGTGGTAGAGTGCCTGCCTAGAAAGCTAGAAGTAGTGAGTTCACCACTAACAAAGAAAAGAAAAAAGATAAAAACATGCTGAATGGTACATGTGTTTGTTTTTGTGAAAAAAGCAGAGAAGAGGGATGCAGTGCAGAGTTGAATATGCTTTTCCCTGCACAGAGGAAGACTGGAAAGTTATGCATGTGGCTGTGAAAGTGGCTGGGGTTGGAGGATAGAGTGTACAGAGACGTGAATGGAATTTCTCAGTTTACACTTTGAGCCATGTGATTTTTTTTAAAAAACTTCACTTTGAAATAGTCACAAAACATCCAGAGAGATCCTCCTTGTCCTTGTCCTGTTTTTCTGTAGTGGTAACACCTCGTTCATAGTTTTAGTACAATATAAAGTCCCGGAGAGTGACAACTTAGATTTCACTAGTTTTGCATTCACTCCTGTGTATGTGTACATTAGTACAACCACCACCACAATCAAATCCAAAACTGCTCTGTCATAGCCACACCATCCTCTTCCCCCTCCCCATCACTACTCACCCCTCCCCCCACCAACTACTCACCTGTGCCAGTCTCCACAATCTTGTCCTAATGAGATTGTCACATAAACAGCCTATAGTATGTGACCTTTTTGAGGCCAGCTTGTTTTCATTCATCTGCCTGAGATTCTTCCTTATTACTGAGTGGAGCACTCCATGGTAAGCTCAGCCACTGAAGGACATAGCTTGGTCTCAGTATTTGATTTTGTTGTTGTTTGGTTTTTGAGACTGTGTCTTGCTCTGTACCCCAGGCTGACCTCAGAGTCAAGATCCTCTGCCTCCTAGGTTTTCATTTCTTTAGGCTAAATGTCCAGGGGTACAATTGCAAGGTCACACGTAAACATAGTCTTAGGTACTCTGAACAGAGTGTGCTGGTTCACACCTGTAATCCCCATTGAGACAGGAGGATTGTGAGTTCCAGGTCAGCCTGGGCAACCATGGTGAGACTCTATCTCTTAACAACAGTAACAAAACCTGCTCCAAGTATTTCAGAATAGCATTTTGATTTTCCAAACACATATTAAAAACAAAACAACCACAAACAAATCAAGACCGTCAGTGCTGATGAATGACCACGGTCTTACAGTGGGGCCAGCAGGCTCCGTCTTGTTTGAGCTGGGTGAGCAAGGCCAGTGTTAAACTTGACTCTCTCTTCCCCAAGGTGTGGTGCAGATAGTGGAGGTGATTCTGAACGCGATGGTTCTCATGTGTATCGTGGCCTCCTACTTCGTCCTGGCGGGATTCAGCGCCAGCTTTGCCAGCGGTGGTGGCTTTGGGAACAACTATTACTCACCGTTTGAGGGCACCGAGCTGGAGCAGGTTCGGCAGCTGGACCAGCAATACACAGTCCTCCGGTCGCCTCTGATATACGGCGGCGTGGCTTTTTCTCTGGGGCTGGGTGTCCTCACCATGGGCGTTTTACTCCGAGGAGCCAAGAGTCTAACAAAACTGTCTGGGAAGTGGCTCCTCCTGGAGGCCACCTTCAGCCTCCTGGCGGCTGTGGGCTACTGCGTAGGCATTGGCGTTTACCTCTACGTGGCTCTGCAGATCAATGCCACGGACACTTGTAAGAGAAGAGAGAGGCTGTACGCCCGCAAGGGTCTCACCTGGATGAACTGCCAGTTGGCCGGCACTGACGGAGCAGCGGCCACCTTTGCTTGTCTTCTGGTGATTACGTACAGTGCCAGTGCGGTGCTGGCACTACGGAGCTACCGAGAACAGAAGCTCTATAAAGACAGCCAAGAAGAGCACAGGAATTACAGGGACACACCAGAATACCTGTGGTCAGGGACACTGTAAGGAGATCCAGAATGTACATGTCAGCCCACCCCCTTGGTTCTCTCAAGGAGACAGGACCTTGTATGCACACAGCGGACAACAGTGGTTTTCACATACTTGCTTTTGTGAGTGCTCACTTTTGGTCTGGTACCAGTGCAGAGTTGAGATAAAAAAGTCCGTGTTGGCTGACTCGATGAGAACTTAAGTAACAAGTGTCCACCGTTAGTGCATCAGCAAAAGTCTGGGTATATCCCAGAGCAGGGCACTCACCACACAGTAGGTAATACTGGAAGTAGCTTACTAGCCAGAGAAATTCTGAAAGTTGAGAACTACACATCAGAGGATGGCAGGGCCTGTCTACTGTCATCAAAAGAAACACGCCAGCCAGGTACCAATGACTCACACCTGTAATCCTAGCTACTTGGGAGGCCGACATCAGGAAGATTGAGGTTCAAAGCCAGATCAGGCAAATAGTTTGAGAAACCCCATCTCCAAAATAGCCAGAGCAAAAAACTGGAGGAGTGGCTCAAGTGGTAGAGAATCGGCTTTGCAAGCATGGAGCCCTGAGTTCAAACTTCAGTGCCATCAGAAAAAAAAAGAAACATGCCATGCACCCTCCTTCCTGTATTTGTTGTGAGGCAGCCTAGTGTTCAAACAGCCTTCTTCCTTAGAGATGGAAATCTGGCTTCCTGACCCTTGAAAAGAGATGCTTCTCAGGGTGGGGCTCAACCTGCCTAGCAAGCTCAAAGCCCTGAGTTCCAACTTCAGTTGAGAGAGAGACAGAGAGGGAGACAGAGATGCTTCAGCAAACATGACCTTCTTCAGGATTCCCATCTCTGGGCCCAGGGCAAATGTTTCCTGTCAGCCACTCTAGTCTCTTTTTACAATAAATCATTCCGTTCACTTTTTTAAAATATTTTACAATTTTTTAAACCTGAGGCTTCCAGATAGTGAAAAACTTCATAAACTTATGACTCATCATTGAACTGATTTAGAAAATAAAGCAGTTAATTTTACTAGACTTCACAGGCTCACTGGAGACCTCTTCATTTCTGCCTGCACCGAAAGGCCCCAGACAGCAGGCCTTCAGAGGCAGACAGTAGCCTCTCATTGCCCTGATTTAGCTTCAATGTAACAGATCTAATCCTGAACCTCCAAAATAAAGTTCTTTTAGTAATTTTAATCAAGTGTTTTATACCTGTTCATATGCCTTACAACTTAGTCTCACACCTATCAGTTCATGTCACGTGTGTGTACGTATCAGTTCATGTCACACATATCAGTTCATCTCAGTTCAACTAGAAATACTCTCATCTTGGAGGTCTTTTCTTAATGGCCATCTGACTTTGCAATGACTAATTCTTATGGTACCTGTTCAGGACAAAGGGTCAAAAGTAAACCTATACAGAACTGGAAAATAAAGCTGGAAGAAAAATAGCCAGCTGGAAATCTATATTGCTCAGTTGAGGGGTCAGCTATGCTGAGGTAGTGGCTGGTGTCCATGAAAGCGTCACTGAGTGGCAGAGAAGATTAACAACAGAAAAGATCAAATACCACCCACCCACAAGAGAACACTGCCAACACACCATTCTCACCTCACGTCTATCCCTGCAACATAACTCTTCTGGATCTTTGTCCACACTGTATCTTGGTGCTGTATAAAACGGGCTTGTGGCCTCTCTAACCCCAGCTCTATGCCCAGGCCACTTACTGTTCCTGGGGTGAGAGGCAGCACCTCGTCACAGGCTGAAGCCCTGCACTGCTAACAACACTGCGTTCTGTAATGATGCTAAAACACATTAGCAACCCTCATCTCATTCACTACCATTTGGTAGGCAGGCAGGCCAAGACTTGTTATTCACATGTTGGGGATAAGGAGAGGAAGTTCAAGGTTAAGTGGTTTGCCTAACACTTACCGTTTCTGACAGCCTGCTATGTGTCAAGCATTTACCAGCATCTCAGGTAAGCCTACAACTGATGACAGATACTAGTGTTCCCACTTAACATTTGAGAAAAAACAGCTTGAGAGAGGTGAAGCAACTTGCCTAAAGTTGCAAAACTTAGTCACACACATGCTCTCATGGACTTTAGGATACCAGGGAATTTGCATGAAGCAGAGAACATACTCAGAATTTTGTTCTTGGCACTCTGGACTAGGGAGGTATGTGCCTGAGGTACATGGGCTCAAACAGTTGTTGAACCAAGTTTTTTTAATGGTCATTTTGGGGCTGGGTATGTTGATACATGAATGTAATCCCAGCTACTTGAGAAATGGAGATCGGAGGAGCATGGTTTGAGGCCAGCACAGTCATAGTGAGACCCCATCTCAAAAAACAAGCTAAGTGTGGGAGTACAAGCCTGTAGTTTCAGTTATGCAACAGGCAGAGGTAGGAGGATCATGGTTTGAGGCCAGCCTGGGCAAAAGCATGAAACCCTATCTGAAAAAATAAAAGGGCTGGGGGGGGGTGGTTCAAGTGGTAGAGTGGCTGCCTAGAAAAGCACAAGGATCTGAGTTCAATGCCCATTACTGCCAAAAAAAAAAAGTTCATTCTGCTAGATGAAAAGAAAACCTACAAAATGACTTCACCTTCCCAGAGATTATGGGAGACACCCAGTGGGGGCAAAGAGGGTAACACCAATTTAGAGGTTTAACTGGATGGTAGGTATCTTATATAAGCCAATGCTCACCACTTAAGTATAAAGTTGTAACACCACACCACACCATCCCATGAAAAACATGACAGCCAGTTAACCCATTTAGCTCCTGGGTCTTCATCAGCTCTGATTTATTTAGGAATTGAGTTTCTTCTGATCAGCCAATAACCTTCATATAAATAAGGGCTGTTTCCTGTTTATGTTTCTTTAAACATAAACCAAGTAAGACTATAGGTTTCTGAATAATTCTTCTTGCCATTTCAACTGAAAAGATGCTATAGTTTTGGTGTGGTCTGAGTGTTCCCCCAAGCATCCACAGGGTGGTGCTGTTGGGAGGTGGTAGAACCTTTGGGAGACCAGTGGAGGTCCTTAGGTCACAGGCATGTGACCTTTCAAGGTAGCTCTGCAGTGGGAACCGTGAGGAAGCCTGAGTTGGTCCCACCCAGCTCTGCCCCCAGTTCCTCATGTACTCACTTGCTCCCACCATCACTATCCACCATGAAGCAACATGACTGAGAACCAGCCAATGCCAGTGCCATGCCCTTGACCTCCAACACCGTGACCCAAACCAACCTCTTCTTAAGTAGCCTGTGTCAGGTATTCTGTTATAGTGACAAAAGGGTGACTAATACAAAAGGTGATCGAAAATATTTTTGCCTTAACACCCAGCTTTATAGAGACCATGCAATGTGGTTTCATGTGTTTGCTCTTATTTATCTTTCCCAAAAGCAAGAAAAAAGTAGGAAAACCCTATACATACTTTTGGTTAAGAAATTAATCCTACATACAAGTTAGGGGAAAAACTATAGCTTCATGCTAAAATAAAGTATAAAATAACAAGCATTCCATTTTAAAACAAAGGCATGAAAAAGATATTCCATTTTATTTCATTTATTATTGTTATTGTTATTTTTTACAAACAATAAATTTGCTGCAACATGCTCTGGCTCATATTGAATTAAAAAATTTAACACATTTCAAAAATATCAAAAATACACTATAATGAGTCTTAGGACTACAATACGACAATGATTGCACAAAACCATAAGATATGAGCCCACTGTCTGGATGACATCCATTGGCAACAGTGAGGGGAACCTATAGCATCTGGGAGAGGGCATGAGATTTAGAATACAAGGAGCTTATGCTGATTGGCTGATCACCAAAGGAGGGAACAGAGCAGGTTTGACTGTAGCTGCTTTTCTCTACCTTGCAAGTGCTTACCCAACAATGGGGCAGTCACTAACTAGAGAGAAAGATAACTTGCCTCAGTGATTGGGGAGTCTGGAAGACTCCACCCAGAGGGAAGTAAAAAGTGACACCAGACAGTTCTACGGTGATGAGGCAGACATCACCGAATGGCTTGGAGACTAATTCTTTAGGAATTGGTGCATTTATCTGTAACAGCCAAGTGCTCCCTTACAGAGGTCTCATTAACAATTACTGAGTAGATAAAGGAGGTGAGCCTGTGGCTTTCAAGAACCTGCTTTTGCTGAAGGTCTACATGTGAAGAGCATCATGAGTCAGTAGATTGGCCAAACCTAACTGGCTCCATCTCTTGGAAAAACAGCACTCGCTACAAACAATTGTAATAGCACCCAGTGATGACCACACTGCTCGTGTTGGCGCTTCTGTATGCCAGGAAAATGAGTTCACAGACTTATTGCACGCATATACTACAGTAGTATAATAAAGCCTTCGCTTGTGTGAGGAGTGGTAATAATTCAATGACTTGACTCTATAGTGAACTATAGCTTCATGTCTTATCAACATTCATATTTTCAGATATATATCCAATCCTTTGGGTAAAATAAGAATCCCTTGGCTGGCAAGTCACATGCATTTTCCTTTCCCTGTGGGACTCCTGAACTGCACCCTTAACCAGGAGTGTTCTTCTCTGAGAAATTCTCTTAAACTTCTCTGTTAAATGGGAAGTAAACACATATACCCAAGAATCATGCAGAGCCAGGATCTCTGTGCTAGAAATTGCCATGCTCTGCCCACCTGTCACCCAGTGAGTATAGTTCTAGGAAGAAGATCACACTCACTGGACACAAGATTACTGGCCTTCCTTGACAGCCTACTTAGGTAACACAATGTCTACAAATTACCGCATAGGTCAAAAGAGCTGTGTTTCATATTTTTGGTAATGGACTGTGGCCTTTTTACCCTCTGTTTTAATACAGAGCAACTGCAGAAAGACACCAATGAAAAGAAGTTGCAAAAACAATAACCAGATTTGGTATAACCTACATTAAGGTTCTCAATACAACCTAAGATTCCTGAAAACAACTCTATCACATAAAAGTACATTTGGAATTTCAGAGTTCTGCTGACCAAAAAGTAAGTACACTTACTCTTGGCAAGGTCATTTCAGAACTGGGTTTTGAGGTGGCTCCAATAAGTAGGGTGGGAAACAAACAAGACAAGAAAAAGGTTCATAGATAAAGGACAATATTTATAAGACTATATACTATTAAAATGGTATTTTTTCCAAAATAACTTTCATTTTTAGACATCACTATTCTATAACCAAAGGTTTTTCTGAGTAGGAAAATGTTTTATATCATCCATCACTATCATGTTGCATTTTCATTCATTTTCATTTTCCCATATAAAAATAAGGTGGCAATGCACCATTGTCCCATCTTTGTAACAGCACCTAAACTTTGTGTGAGCCACCGTGTTCCCCACTTCAAAGACCTGAGTTCTAACATTTTTTGAGTGCCAACCAGCAGTTTGACAGAAAAGAAGACAAGTGTTCCTAACAAATTGGGGACTCAAGTTCAGATTCTTGAGGGGTTGAACATGAGGCAGTCATTGGAATAACAGAAAATCCCCCATGAGTGGGCCACACTGACACATGCACATGGGCACAGGGCCTGTGAAGATGAAGAGATAGGACTATTTGCAGACTGTTATCTGCTTTTGACTATTGCTTTAAACAAAACTTCCCCCAAAATACAAAGGAATAAACATATACTTTCAACCTTATACTTAACATTTTGTTTCTGATGAAACAAATTAAAAATTGTTCCACTCTATTTTCTTTAATTGTGAAATGTTCCAAAAACATCATAGTACATTTCTCATTGAGTAAAATCAAACAACGCTAAAATTTTGTAGGAATAAGAAAGAATTAATTTTCCTAGGTAAATCTTCAAATGGAAAAAGCAACAGAAATATTTTACTAGGGCTGTGTGGAATGTGTGAAAAAAAAAATTAACAGGATTTCTGTAAGCTTAGGAATTTCTCAAGTAAGAGTTTCTCATATTGGTATTAAGCCCAGTCCTCTGAGACTACGTAAAGGTGAGTCAGCGGTTTTCAGAAGGGTTCACTGTCAAACACTATCAAGTGAGCTCTGGAGAAAGAGAAGGAACAAGTTTAACCTGTGAGCTCCATCTGCCCATCTGTTCTCAGTCAGCCTCCACCTGACTCTGATGTCTCAGAGTCATCTGGTGTAACTCAAGGTGACTTGGACACCAGCAGTGTTAGCCTTGGCCCTACCTATCAGGAGGGTGACTGCCAACTCTACCACATTAGGGAAAGAAACCAATCCCTAAATGCCAATCTTGTGATCTGCTAGGATCATAATTCCTAGCAGGTGACACATTAGTCAAGGAGTGATTCTGTTTTTCTGATTTCCCCATCTTCATCCCCAAAAGAAGATCCTACTACCCCAAGCTCCTCAGGAGCTTTCACAGTGTGACATCCAACAGTTACACTAATTTCCAGAGCCCTTCCAAGTACCCTCAGAGAAGGCTTCAACACCCAATTATCTCTCTGCCTATGGACAGAGGGGCTGGGCTGTCTCTAAAAAGATTGGCTCGAGTGCAGATTCAAAAATAGAAAGTTCACAGTCAATGAAAAGTGCTCTCATTACATTACATAAATTATCTGTTTGACTGGTTCTCTATCTCCAATAAACATCATTTTGATAGGCTATATTCTCGTAGAGAAGAATGAAAAGCCATGTGACTAATCACATCACACCCCATTAGTTAGTCTGAGAGATAAAGTGATTTCTCTGTCATAGAGATCCATCAGCAGCAATTAAAGGGAATCAACCTTCAGTTATTTCCTCCACAGAAAAAGTCCCTTTCCTGCCCAGGCAGGCAAATTCTTAAAATGATCCTAGGAGAGAAAGGGTTAATGGCAGGTGGCAGGACTGATACAGAACATCTGCTTTCTTCCCAGTAACTCTGGGAATTCCAATGCAGGTTAAATACAAAACTTAACACTGATGGCAGTACTGGCTCATTCAGAGCCAGATCCTGATAGCTCTCACCTTTTTTGGCTCCAAATTCTACCCCACTATCTATGGTTAGAAACATGGAGGCAAAGTGCCTCTGGAAGGTCCCTTCCCCAACACTACACGGTACTCCCTCAGACCACACCCACTAGGGGCAGAATCACAGCGCTGTGTCAAACTCCTCTGGGGGCTCAGTCCGATCCTCTTCACTGGGCTCGGGCTCGGGCCTGCTTTCCTGCTGCTGCTTCATTTGTTCCTTCACTTCTTCCTCCAGGTCACGCGGTACAACAAACTGATCCTCTGGCTCCAGCTGAGTGGGAGCAGCAAAATAGCCAGTTTTCCTCTTGGGTGCTTCTGTGGCCACTTCAATGAGGTTCAGGCTGTCCTCAAGGGGCACAATGGAACCATTGGAGAGCTTCTTTCCATAGAGGCAGGAGGTGGAGGGAGACTTCTGTAATTCCATTTTATCCTTGCTCATTGGCAAAAGTATGCCACTATTCACACTGTTCTGTCTTCGGATCCCAAAAAACAACCCTCTAGCATGTTCCTCAGGACGCGGGGTGGAAGAGTTCTCTGTAAGAGTAGGAGAATTCTCCCGATCTCTTCCTCGGCAGCAGTGAATATCTACCTCTACTTCTACCTTGCTACCATTGGTTATGACCCCTTCAACAGGCTGGTCATCATCACTGTCCAGGCCATTGTCAGACTGATTACTGGAGAAGGTTGCGCACGAGGGCTGGCGCTGAAAAACCCCGGAGGTGGGTGTTGGGTGGAGACTGCAGCGCCTCTCTGGCCTTGGAAGCAAGCCAGCTTCCAGGCCCACAGTGTTATGTTCATCAGAAGCGGTGGAGCCCACTTCACTGCTCACCTCTGAGGTGGACATCTCACTGCTGAACTCTGAAGCAATGCCACTACTAGAGGAAGGAGTGGTTGGTTTAGGGGTATCCTTGAGAGTGGTGGCTGAAGCAAATCCCACAGGACCTGGGAGTGTGATCCCGTTCATTTCGCAAGTACAGCCTTCCTCACCAATGTTCAAATATACCACCATTGCTCCCACGTTGTCCTGACAACCATAGCTCTGTGCTAATGTGCACAGCTTCTTAGCAGCTGCTAATGGGTCTTGAACATGACGTACTACATTAACAGCTTCTGTATATGACAAGTGTTCCCACAATGCTTTGTTTCCCAAAATCAGCAATTCATCTTGAATGGTAAGTGGAGTGGAAGATATGTGGGGCTTGGGGAGGATCCAAGGGTAGAGGTATGTACAACCCAACATCCGGGTACAGCAAGTTACCCCATTCACTTTGTTGTCCTAGAGACAAGCAGAATGCAAATTTTGAGAAACAAGCAACAATAACCTGCATTTTTTTTTTATCTTTCTAGATCATGATATTTAGGAATCTATAACAAAATATAATTGATATTATAAAACAAATGTAGAAAAAAAATCTACAGAAAATCCTAAAAAAAAAATAACATATGGTTATTATATCAAGTAGTTGAGGGAACTGAAGTTAAATCTAATTAAAAGTGACTAACAGGCACCACCATATCAAAAGACATTTATCCTAACATGAAGAACAGGTTTCAGCATGTCCTTAAACAGAGAAACATGTGTTTGAAAAACAGTAGAACTGTCATTAATTCTCCATCACTAGTGTTCTGAGAGAGGCCACAACACAGATGAATCACTAAAAACAATTTCTTGTGTAAAGGCACAAATGGGACTGAAGAGATTTCAAATGAGATAGGTTGATTCTCAGTAATTAAAGCATTAACTAAGGTCTAAGATTACTAAACCTAAAAAGGGAGAGTCTGAAATCTGTAGCACAATTTACCTACTCTGTAGGAAGTGTACCAAGAATGAACATCAGATCAAATAAGAACCCATGTGCTTCTAAGCTGAGAGGAAAAAGAATCACCCTGGTTGCAGGTTTGGAATGTTCATATGTTGGATACTTTTGTATTGATTTCTCTTCAAGAAAAAACAAATGCACTGGAGGTGTGGCCAAAGGTAGAGCACCTGCTTTGCAAGTATAAAGCCCTAAGTTTAAACCCCAGTCCTGGCCCCCCCACAAAAAAAAGAAGAAAGGAAAAATACACAAAAGCTCTAAAGTCATCAAAAAATTAATTTCACAGCTATAGCTGCTCTTTGAATGAAAACTCTGGCTTCTTATTTACCAGAATTTGTCACAAACTATAAACTTTATTTCCTTTATCTGTAAAATGAAAACAAAAGTATTTCTTTCACGGAAGTTATTGTTGAAGATTAAACCTAAACAACATTATCTAAATTCTGTAAAAACAGACAAGACAGCAGGCAGAGTGGCTTAAGTGGTAAAGTGCCTGCCTAGTAATAAGCCCTGAGTTCAAACCCCAGCACTGCCAAAAAAAAAAACCCAACCAGATTAGTCAAACAAAAAGCTGTCGTTTATCTTCCATTTGTTTTGACTGAAAGACTTTCCTAGGATTAATGCCCCTTAAGTCCAGAGTCCTAACTATATCAACCACATTATAATAGTACTTGTTGATTATGTTCTTCCTTGGATGAGATATAAGATGGATAGTACTTTTCTGACTAAACAGAGAGCCCAGAAATGGACCTATAAAAGTATAGTAAAGCTGAGCGCTGGTGGCTCATGACTACAATCCTAGCTACTTGAGAGGCTGAGATCAGAAGAATCACTGTGAGAGGCCAGTGAAACCTCTTCTCAACCAATAGTTGAGCATGCTGGTGCACAACCGTCATCTCAAGCTATGTGAGAAGCTGAGATGGGAAGAGTTGCTCTTTCAGGCCAACCTGGGAGGGAAAAAAGTTTATGATACTCTCCCCTACCACCCATCTCAATGGAAAAAAGCTGGACATGGTGTGTGTGGCTGACATTCCACAGCAATTGAGGAAAGCATAAAATAGGGACAGTTTCGGCCAGCCTGGACAAAAAGCAACACCCTATGTCCAAAAATAACCGGAGCTTGGTTTAGTCCTAAAAAAAGGACTGGGGGGCAAGTTCAAGTGGTAGAGTGTCTGCCTACCAAGCCCAATTCCCTGAGTTCAATCACTAGCACCCCCAAAATTTATCTATCTTATCTTTATCTATCTATCTATTTATCTATCTATCTATAATAAGTGATCTTTGACAAAGGAACAAAGAGAATACAATGGAGAAACAATTCTTAACAAATGGTACTGAACAATTGGACATACACATGAAAAAAATCTAGACACAGAGTTTACACTTTTCATAAAAATTAACTCCAAATGGGTTACAAACCTAAATGTAACATTCAAAACCATAAAACTTCTAGAATATAACACAGAAGAAAATATAAGTGACCTTTAGTTTGGCCATGAATTTTTAGATACAACACCAAAAGCATAATCCATAAAAAACTGACAAGGGGGACTTCATTAAAACTAAAAACTTCTGTTCTGCAAGACACTGTTCAGAGAATGGAAAGAGAAGCCCCATACTGGAAAAAAATATTGGCAAAACATATATCTAATAAAAGATCTGTTTCTAAAATTACAAAGAAATCTCTTAATACTCAACAATAAGGCTCAAAAGATAGAGTACCTATCTGGTAAGCATGAGGCTAACTAAGTTCAAACCCCAGTACAGTGAAAAACAAAACAAAACAAAAAACTCTACAATAAAGAAACAAACAAGCCAATTTAAAACCATGAACAAACCAATCTAAAATGGGCAAGAGATCTGAACAGAATCTTTGCAGTATACCATGTTCCCATATAATTGCTAATGTCTCTCTGAAAACAAAGTTATACTAATTTTTTTTTCTAGTACTGAAGCTTGAACTCAGGACCTCCACCTTTGAGCCACTCCACCAGCCCTTTTTTGTGAAGGGTTTTTCGAGACACGATCTCGTGAACTATTTGCCCAGGCTGGTTTTGAACTGTGATCCTCCTGAGTAGCTAGGATTACAGGAGTGAGCCACAAGCGCCCAGCACTAATTTCTAAAAAAGGAAAAAAGCTATAAAAATAGTAGATGCTTGATGTTTCATTATAAGAAAAAGAACACTAGAGCACACTAAAACATATATAGTATGAAGAGGAAAAATATCCTCAGACTTTGCATTTCAGAATGGCGATGCCGAACTGTAGTCTTTCTTTTCCTATTTGGAGAAACAAAACCAGATGAGTTGGGAACTAAGGAGGCATGACATTCATTTTACTTGCTAACTATTCATTTAAAGGATCACAAATTAGGGCTTTCATTTCTAACTAATTTTGTTTTCTTTTTGCTACTCACTTACTGTTCAGTAGATTTTCTTCTAAAAGCATTACTAAAACCCTATGAACTCAACATTTATCTGGATTGGATATAATTGATAAGGCATGATAGGAAGAAAATGGACCTGCACTGCCTCTGAGAAAAGCAGTCTTCACTGCTGCTTTGGACAGTACAAGTGGCTGGAAGAGAGAGAGAGATGCACCTCTGTTATGATGGCTTTTTGGTCCTTCACCCTTAGTGCTTCCTCTGGGTCCTGTTCCAGGCTGAAGACTTTAGAGAGGGGCACTGGTTTCCCACCTCTGCACAGGACTGCTTGGCACGTGCCAACGTTGGCCACTGTCAAGCTAAAACTACTTGTTGGGTCAGCAGTATCAGGGCGGATGTAGCACAAGAGAGCAGAGGAGCCCAGCTTCTGGCCAGCCATTCCCAATTTCCTGTTTAGAAAGAAGACAATGAAGACTTGGTAGCTAGTTTTAGAGGAAAGTGGAGGTCCTTCAGCTTGTTTTTTTGCAATGGGACTGTGAACCAGCCTCAGGCTTACTCACCTGAAGGCAGACTTTTGCTATAAGTATTTTGCCTTTCTGTCTCAGATGATGAAGAAAAGAAACTTTAAAAGGAGGAAGAAGACAGTGTAGAGACATCTTTCTCTACTGTTTCTGTGTCTGATTAGAGACTTTCAAATTCAGGGGTCTTAAAAATATCAGCATACCATAATCATCTGAAGGGCCTGATGATTGCTGCAGCATAGATTGTGGGCCCTGCCCCCAGAGTTTTTGATTCAGTGAGCAAGGGGCTAGCCCAATAATGTGCATTTCTAACAGAAATGCAGAGGGTGCTGAGCCTGGAATAACACTTTCAGAACCACTTAAGTTTTAAGGCCCTCATGGGAAGGATCATGATTCTCCTTGCATTTCCTCCATACACACAGTATCCATCTAACCACACTTAGGAGGCAATACAAACTCAGGGCAAATACCACACAAGAATATAGTTTCAAATCCCAGCTCTACAATTACTGACTATATATCCTCAGGAAGTTATTTCTCTAAGAAATTTCTTGATAAAAGTTGTTTTGAAAGATATAGAATGAAAAATGAGTCTGTAATACCTGACTCTTGGAAGATGCTCCCCTTTCTTGGGAAAGAAGTTCATTTTCCCAAACCTTTTATTCTGCTAAGTCTCTAGCTCAATTCTACTGTAAAACTGACTCCTTTACCAATACCTTGCTTTGTATTAGTACGATAGCTACACCCAGCTCAAGTCCATTTCAGCCTTGATTATACAAGTTTACAGCCTCTCAGTTGTTCACATCCTTTAGGCCTCACACCTAGTGTGGAAGCTGCTCCATCAGGTACCAAGAGATTTTTCAATAGTTTGGATATGAGGGTTTTGCCCTTAAGTGGCTTCAATGTTCATGAAAAGACTGGCTGGGAAAACACCAATAACACATATTCTAAATACATGGATCTGACCATCGCTCATTAACCCTCTGTAGGTCACTGACTCCAGAGAATCTTATGAAAGCCTACCACGATCCTCCTCCAAATGTACAAATACATATATAGACACGCAACCTGTTACACATAATTTCTGAGCTTCCTAGATCCTCAGCAGCTTTTGGGTTCAACAGAGAAGGCAGATGACGCCACCGGTTCTTTAAAGGGGCAAAGTCCCCACACTTCTGATGACACTAAGAGAATGATCGTGGAAGAAAGAGCAGGATCTCTCCCTGAATGTGCAACCATAAGCCATGGCCTTCTGCTTTAGAGATTTATTTCCCAAAAGTAGAGCTGAGTTAGGGATGAGTCAAACCCCCCTGCTTACCTGTGAGACACCAAGAAGGTGTTGGTCATGAACACTGTGTCATTTGTCGACTGCTGTACCTCTTCCAAAAGTACATCTGCCATTGTACACTGCAGCAGGCGAGGGAGCTCCTCATTTCGGTCCCCATCAAACATGCCATACACAGCTCCCACCCCCTCTGCAAAGTTATCCATAGCTAAGGCAGACACACACAGCCTAGAATAGAAAGATGACGACCACGACCATCAAAACAAGTTACTGGCAAAAGCATTCTTTAAAAAAGCAAGTATTAATTGAAGGTGGAGAAGCACAGTGGTAAATATTAATCTACACATGAACAGAGTCCCCAGATAAGATAATTGAGCAGCGTCTGAAGAGCTGACATCCTAAGGAAAGGGGAATTTGCCATATATGTATTTGTTTTGCAAAGGCTGGAAAGATAAGATGTTTTCTTGTCATACTGATCAAGAACTAGTACCTTCAGTCAAAGACCACCAGAGCACACCTGTGGCTGAAGTTGAGTTTATTACTTCTTGCAGCAAGGAAGAATATACATCATGGAACCCTGGGGTCTGTAGGGAACAAATTGCTGGAAGAAACCTAACATAGGATTTGGCCTTTGGTTCGACCATTTTGGGGAAAGTCTAAGGAAGTGGAGGGTTATACCAGATTGGAGGCTGTCAGAAAGCAGGGCCATAATATGGTTGGGTCTCTCAATAAATCTTATAGATAGGGAAGAAAAATTAGCATGAGGAGAAAGCCACGAGGGGTGTTTGGTATTTTGTGGACTGCACATTCATTTAGTTTTTGTCTTACTTTATCATGGTCTCAGAGGGATCTTATCTGATATTAATGTTCTGATTTGGTTTTGTGTGATAGAAGAAAAACATGGTCTAGCTGTGATCAAACCAGTCCCCAGGTGCCAGGCACTGCCTTTTCTCTTTCTCATCTTCCAGGGCCAACATACTCACTTATTTCTCTGTCCTGCCATTTCAGCCAGGCCATGGCTCCAGAAGGTTGATGTCACTGTAGAGTCTGTAGTTGGCAAAGGTTTCTGATCAATTTTCAAGGTTGTGATATGGCTATAGCAGGTAAAAGAGGGGAAAATTAAACCATATTCTCTTTTGCTTTTAACAATAAATAACATGTTTTTATAAAATAATGTCTTGACAGACTAAGATACATTTCCAAAGAGACTGAAAGAAAGTGGTATGATGAACTCCTGGCTCAAATGTAGGAGAAAGAAAAGAAAGAAGGAAGAGAGAGAAACAGGGACCAAATATTGCCACAATTAATGAACCACTGGGCTGGAGGTATGGCTCAAGTGGTAGAGTGCCTGTCTAGAAAGCACAAAGCCCTGAGTTCAAACTCCAGTACCACCAAAAAAGAAAACCCCCAAGTAGCAGCCAACTGCCTACTTATTTTAATTATTACAATACCATGAAGTCTTGGAGCAAGAAACTTGTATTACCTCTTACGTGACTTGTGCTAGCCACATAAAATTATTTGGTGTGTGTCTGGGTAGTAGCCATGTAGCAGTCCCAATAAAAAACAGACTAACTGCTGGATAGAACCTAGGGCATTCTGGCCCAACTCATTCTGTTCCTTTAATTAAGATCTCTCCAGCCCTACAGAAGATCACAGATGACTGGCAGGCCTCAGAACACATATGGATTTTTCCTACCTAAACATGTCCAATGTCTTGTGTTCCAGAACCAGATTTGTATTTCCGGTCAGATCAAGATCTTGTAGTGTAGCAGGCAGAGCCTCTGGAATTAGGATTTCTGTCAAGTCATTGCAACTTAGGTCTACGAACTAAGAACAGAAAAATCAAAAGAAAACACAACATAGCTCATTCTCTACCCCAAACATTTACTCACTACTCTATTAGAGGGAGCTTAACTTCCTCCCGGAAAGAATCAAGTACACTTAGATCCCAAAATGAGTATCTCAGAAAAGAAAAATCTTTCTTCCTTATGTGAAGTGAATAGCTGCATTCACACTCCTTTCTTCTTCCTTACAAGGGAGGCATCTCACTCATATTCCTCCTGCTTTTCCCCCACAGAGACATCATGCCAGCATGTAAAAGTACATGGATCTGGCCTAGGAATAGTGTCTAACACCTATGATCTCAGCTGCTTGGGAGGCAGAGATTAGAGGATCATGGTTCAAGGCCAGCCTGGGCAAAACATTAACAATACCCCATCTCAACGAACAAGATGAGGATTGTGAGGGCGATGAGGATGTGAGGGCGATGTGGCTATGACATCTGTCACTCCACTGATCGCCAGGGTTGATCTGGCTGGCCAGGTGGGTGTCCCCTTCCTCCCTCACTGCTCCATGTGCGTCCCTCCCAGAGCTGCACGCTCCGTTGAAGAGGACGACCATCCCGGATAGAGGAGGACCGTTCTTCGGTCAAGGGTATACGAGTAGCTGAGTTCCCCTGCTAGAACCTCCAAACAAGCTCTCAACGAACAAGCTGGGCATGGTAATGCACACTGGTAATCCCAGCTATGCAGGAAGCATAGATAGGAGGATCAAAGTCTGAGGCCGGCCTCAGGTAAAAATCCCAACATCCTATTAGAAAAATAACTTAAAGCAAAAAAAAGGTTGTAGGTATGGCTCAAGTGGTAGAGTGCAAGGCCTTGAGTTCAAATCCCAGTACCAAAAAAAAAGAAAAAAATGTAAAAATACCTGGATCTGAGGCAACTGCAGTATTTCTGGGAAAATGCTGATGTTGTTGGAGTGTGCAACAAGGGTGTGCAGCCTTTTGCAGTTTGCTATGGTTGTAGGAATGGTTTTAAGCTTGTTACCACTTAGGTTCAGTTCTTCCAATTGCTCCAATTTATTTAGTTTGCTGAAAAAGAAACACTAAAATACCAGACTGCACCAAAAAAGAAGATGCCAAATCAGTGCTAGTTTATAGCAGCCATAGAGTACAGAAGGTTGCCTGGTCCACTGCATAAGACCAGGGCAAGGGAAACAATGAGACATCAGCCAAGCAATGGCTCACCAATGTGACTGAGCCTGCTGCATTTCAGCCTGACCTGCCACTCAGCATGTTTCAAAGCTGGTGCTGCCCTTACTTTCTGTATAGGTTTTGGTATGAACATCTCCCTGTTATGTGAATTGTAGAAGTGGTTGAAAAAGCATTGACCCACTACTACTGCAAAATTAGTTTTGGTCCTTGCTTTGCCACTAAGTAGCTGCAAAATACTGGGTATGTAAGGTCAATGGACCTTGATTGTCTCAGCCATAGATGAAGAAGTACTAAGTCATCACTAAGACTCCTTTCAGTTTTGACTTTCTTCAGTTACCTGTGCGTAACAATTCATCTTCACTGAACACTTAGCATGTTCTTATTGCAATATAGCACAATATAGCTGGGGACCATGATGCAAGTGATTCACACCATCCTTTTCACTGAACAAAGCTATCTACATAGTAAGCAAAGTATTTTAAGTCAGCCTAACATTCTTATCTAAATTATTTCAAATTGTTCTCATTTCTTTTGATTTACTGGTTTTTAAAATTTTTTACAAAAACAATGCCAGCACCACTAGCTCATGCCTATAAGCCTAGCTACTTCGGAGGTTGAGATCAGGAGGACTGTGGTTCCAGGCCAGCCTAGGCAAACAGTTTGTGAGACTCCATCTCCAAAAACAACCAGAGAAAAATGGACTGGAGGTGTGGCTCAAGAGGCAGAGCACCTGCTTTACAAGTGCAAAGCCTTGAGTTGAAACCCCAGCCCTACCAAAAAAGCTTTTATATATATATACACATACAGCCAAAAAAACCAAAAAAGTTTATATATATATAAATTGCCATAACAAGGAGAAAAAGTTTGGAAAATAAAATAAATAAATCACTAATAATGCCAGCAACCTGAGGAATTATTATAATTTAACTAAATTTCCTACCAAATTTCTCAAATGAATGTTTTATATACATTTTATATCCTACCTTTTTCATATATCACAAGTAATTTTATTGCTAGAAAATTAATACTTTTAAGTAACTAAGCTTAGAAATTTATTTTCTTTAGTACTATAATAATATATACACACTCAAAGAAATTAGAAAATAAAGACTAACAGAAAAGAAAAATCCTTTATTCCCATTACTAAAGATCTCTGATGATATTTTGGTAGATAGCATTCTTGTCTTTAAAGCATGAAACTTTAAAACAAGAGGTGGGTGTTGTGGCACACATTTGTAATCCGAGAACTTGGGAGGCTGAAGCAGAAGGATTATGATTTATAGACAAGGCTGGGCTACCTAGCAAGATCTGGTCTCAAACCCCAAACCCAAAACTGGTGCTATATAAGACATATTGCTTTATAACTTCCCTTTTTAACTTAATAATACATTTTAATGTTCCATACCCAGCTTCCACATTCTTCTCTTATATACTAGTCCCTGCCTGGACTTTTCTGAGTTCTAAGTAGAAATATAACACCCATCTCAGCCAGTTTTTTACTAGGTACCCACAACTGTACTAGATGCTGAAAAAGGTCCAAAAGAAACAAGGATTTTGATTATGCCCGTTCAACTTTTACATCAGGGAAATGGCTGCTGTAGGACTGCTATTCAGCATGGATTATACATTTTCTTTAATGTGTTACTCCTAAATTCCACTTAGTTTTATTGTCTGTAATTGGATTACTCTAATTTTATGTGATGCATTTTCAGCTTTTCATCAGCCTGCTTTTGATTCCTCTAGCAGTTAAGAGTGTCATCAAACTGGGCAAGACTAACATTGGCTTTAGCTTAGTAACCATGGTAGTACCCGACCATATTTTACAATACAGCGTTGACAAGAGAACAGAAAAATGAATCTTGAGAGATTAACTAATTTACTACAAAAATATGTATTTTTCTAGGTTGAACATTCTCAGATCTTTGCTAAATAATCAGAATTTTAAAATAAATACATTTTAAATGTAATTTCTCTGGTTACTGATACTTAACAACTGGGTACAAACTATTAAGATGAGATTTTCCAGAGCTGGGCATGGTGGCAGATTCCTATAATCCCACCTCTAAGGAGGCTGAGGCACAGGGATCACAAGTGTGAGACTATCCTGGGCTTTACAGTGAGACATTGTCTCAAAATAAAAGAAACAAAAAACAAAAAGAAAGAATGAAAAAGAAAAAAAGATTTTCCCACCAAACTAGTGAAATCACAGCACCAGTAAGTCAACTGACATAAAAGAAGTATAAAAGTTAGATAGCTTAAGTTTAGTCTAAAAAATGCAGAACTCATGTTATGCTCTGAAATGATCACGCTTTGTATTCATTCACCTTGCAGGAAAGGTCTGTAGCTGGTTGCTGGCAAGGTGCAAGATGCGCAAGTGTGGGTGCCCCACCAGGACAGGTATGCACTGATCTGTCAGGAGGTTGTTGCTCAGATACAGCAGCTGCAGCATGCTTAGACTCTCCTCTCCAGTGCACGCAGAAGGCAAAGACTCCAGACTGTTTGCAGACGCATTCAAGTATCTGAGACTGAGAAACACACAGATTTATCATGCCTCCTCAGCATGCAGTGCTGCCATCCCAAGCTCCCAGATGCAAAATCATTTCTTCCAGGTAGTTTTCTGTGAGTCTACCCAACCCAAAGTTCCTTTTACTCGACTTATGCAAGTCAAATAGAGGAGAAAGAATACAGGTGTGGCTGTTTCCTCATCCTTCTGTAGTGGACAAATTCTAACCAGGTTTCACTTTTGCCATCTATGTTTCAACTGAAAAGTCATCATCAAGTACTACAGTCAAATATATCTGAACTATGGGGAAACTCTTCAGAAGAAATTTTGTCTGAGCTGGGGTGGTGATCACACCTATAATCCTAACACTTGGGAGATGGAGGCAGGAATATCTTGAGTTTCCAGCCAACCTGTGCTACACAGAGACTTCAAGGCCAACCTCAACTACATAGCAAGACCACGTCTCAAAAAAAAAGGGCTAGGAGTATAGCTCAATGGTAGAATACTCGCCTAGTATGTGTAAGGCTCTGGATTCTATTCCTAGCACCACACACACAAAATAATTGTCTGGCTTTAATAGCAACATTATTTATTTAGCCAATTCCATAATAATCCCCTAATAATGGATATATAGGTTATTTGCATTTCTATACATAAGCTATTATGGACATTATAATGAGTACCTTTGGGCTCTTAGTCAATTATTTCTTTAGGGTACATTCCTAGAATAATTTATGAATTCAAAGGATATAAATATTTTTAACATACATTTTATGTGCAATTTTTTTTTTTTTTTGTGGCATTGGGGGTTGAACTCAGAGCCTACGCTTTGAGCCACTCCACCAACCCTTTTTGTGATGGGTTTTTGAAATAGGCCCTCGCAAACCATTTGCCTAGGCTGGTTTCAAACCATGATTCTCCTGATCTCTGCCTCCTGAGTAGCTAGGATTACAGGCGTGAGCCACTGGCGCCTGGCTCACCATATATATTTTTAAAGCTTTTTTTAAAAAATACGTTGCCAAACTAAGCTTCAAAAAGGCTACAAATTGCACTTCCATAAGAAGAATGTGATTCACATCTTTGTCAACACTGAGTATCATGATTCACTTACTCTTTGCCAGTCTAACAGGTAAAACACATATATACATTTCTATATGTACCAGTGTTTGGTACATATAGAACATTCTCAATAAAAGGCAGTTAATATTATTAAACTTCTTGTGTTTTCTTTTTTTGTGGCACTGGGGTTTGAACTCAGAACCTAGTGTTTACTAGGCAAGCACTCTACCGCTTGAGCCACACCTCCAGCAAACTGTGTTTTCTTAAATCGTTTTCATGATGTGTGATCAACATGAAACTAACCCTAATTAGCTTTTAAGTTTACTGGGAGTAATGTGTGTCTGTCCCAAAACTGCTCTGGACAGTTAGTATTAAATAGTTCAATTTCCTTCAGTTAAGTAAGTTCCTTACTACAAATTTTAAGGCTGTAAACCAATTTTGTTCAGACTGTCATTAGCTCTAAATACAGTGTTATATATATTGCTAACAAATACTTGTTAATTATCAACTGCATCAAGACTCCATAAAACTTTCCCATACAAACTCCATATAAACCTTTTTTTAGAATTTCCAAAGATTTTATTTTGAGGAATATCCAACCAAGTGTACAGATGAAGAGATGTGTAAGCTGCAAAACAAAGAACAAGACTTGAGGGCTAAGGGCTTTTTGTATGTTACCTGTACCATATGTTGAATTACTATTGCTTATCTCTTTTCTCCATTTCCAAACTGAAGATAATATGGCCTTCTCTATATTGTAGAAGACTATCAGTAAAACTAATTTTCTTGGGTTGGGTGTATAGCTCATTGTTAGAGCATTTGCCTAGCATGCACAAGACCCTGAGTTTGAATATATTGTAAGAACATTTGTAAATGTCACAGTATACCCCCAATACAACAATAACATAATAAAATAAATAAATGAATAAATAAATAACCATGAACTTGACACTAGTACCACAGAAAAACAAAACAAAACCAAAAGAATATAGTTTTTATTTAAAGGAGACATACACATGAGGTAAACCTGACTACAGGTCCTAAAATAGGAAGACATACCATCTACTTATAAATTTATAGTAAGATGGCAAATAATACCTTTTGAAAGAATCTTATTTTTAAATGCACAGATTTCAAAGTAGGTAGCAAAAAAGCTCTAAGATAATTTGGTAAGGTTACAATTAAATTGAGTTTGGTGGTAAGTCCTTTCCTCCCGAATTCTTCCTCCCCAAGGAAACTGTATCTACATGTTGTATTTTCTCCCTAAATGTCATAACTGTATTTATATTCTGAGATGAAAACCTAAACCTTTCCAACCTGTTTGAGATTGTTCACAACACAAAAACTTACATATTTGATAGTCATGGTGACTGTGAATTAAAGATTACTACCTCATGAAACACTGCCATAAAAGTTGCAGCTACATCTCCCCACCATTGAACTACCAGGTGAACTCTGTAAACACAGCTCCAAAGACCACTCCAATGACAAGTCAATGCAGTTTGTTTAGCCAATGATTCAGACTTCTGAGAAAAGAACCCTCCGATACTCACTTTAAGGCCTTGGAAAAGAGGTGGTCTGGCAGTCTGGTGAGAACGTTATGCTGGATATCCAGCACCTCCAAGGGGATGTGCTCCACCAGCACTGGAAGGACATGGATGTGATTGTGTCCCGCCATCAGTTTTCTAAGACTCAAACTACTCAGAATTCTATGGAGAAACAACAGAAAGAAACAAACAAAAACTTACTCAAATGTTTCTTTCTAAATGTATCATAGGCTATTTAACTAAAACCAGCCAACTAATAAACACATTATTTCTAGACCATACAATCACTGACAAGTGCCTGAGCCAATAAAGCAGCCATGACCAGGTTACCCATGTCACCCACCAGGAAATCACTAAGATCTTTCTGAGGAAAGGTAAATTAACGAAGACAAATGGCACAGAGGAAATCTAAAATAAAGCAATTTCCTGAACAAACCCATTTAGATTTTTTTTTAAGTCTAGACAGAAGTCTAGAGAATAGTTAATATTAATACTTAATATAAAATCTGTAATAAAAATTTAATTACAGTAAAAACTACTATTTACTGAGTGCTTAAAATGTGATAGGTCATTTAACAATGAAGTTCAGAAGGATTAAGTGACTTTGATTTGCCAAAGATCTCATAATGAATAGTAAATGGTACAGTCTGGATTTGAACTAAGAACTGACTCCAGAGGTTGTATTCCAACCTACTAGGCTACAAAGCCTCTAGTTCAATTTTAAAGACTCCATGGGCACACATTCTAGTTACAGCTCAGTGCTTTTGAATATGTAATTCCCCACCCCACCAAGCACCACTCTTTCCCCTCCTTCCTCGGAGAAATCCCACCATCTGGTAAAGGTCAATCCAAATGCCATCTTCTCTATGAGGCATTCTCTAATTATTCAAAGTTCTTCTGAATTTCTAAATAATTTTATACAGCATCATGATTAAGAGTAAAGTCTCTGCAGTAAGAATGACTGTGTTCAAATGCCAACTCCAGTCACTTCTTGGTTAAGTGCCACCATGGACAAGTTACTAACTGTTCTTAGTTTCCTCATTCCTAAGATGAGGATGACAGCACTTACATAATAAGGTTTTTAAATGATTAGGTATGATCATAAAACAAAGTTCTTGGGTGTTACCCAGGTCATAACTTAATCTATAAAATTAACTTCTGCTTCTATCATATCAGCACCCGTGCCAGTGTGATACTACCCTCTTACTAGTAAGTTTCTTGTAGACCAAGATCATGTATTAACCATCACAACATTCCTGGACACACCACACTGCTTCATTGTCAGCTGGTACTCAATATTCATTACATAACTGATAGGCAAACCAAATCAAGGAAGATAATTAAACACATACACACATACATATATAACATGTGTACTCACACACACATACCTCATAGGAACCTCTGTGAGAAGATTATAACTCATATCTAATATTTCTAGCTTCTTTGCTTCACAGGCCCAGTCAGGGACACACTCTAGCAGGTTTCTGTAGAAAATAAATAAGTAAAAGATACCACTTAAAGTGACAAGTTAGTATATTTTGGATCTTAAATATTCCCCAAAGGCAGTATGTTGAAGGCTTGGTCACCAACCTGTGGTACTAACAGTAGGTGGTGGAATCTTTAGAACGTGGGGCTTAGAGAAAGGAAGGTAGGTTGCTGAGGGTATGCCTTGGCAAGGACTACTAGACCCTGACTCCTTCTTCTTTCTTTCTTTGTTTTCCAGTTGCCACAAGGTGAGTAGTTTCCTGTACCATGAGCTACCACCATGATGATGTACCTCACCACAGGCCCAAGGTGACAAGGCAAAGAGGCCATCGGCTGAAACCTCTAAAACTGCGAGCCAAAATAAACTGTTCCTCCTTTAAGTTGCTTATCTCAGGCATTTTTGTCAGTGACAGAAATATGACTAACATACAAGTGGAATTAATTTCACTAGACAACTAGTATATGTAAATCAGCTTGTGAGCTCTTGGGGCAGGGACACTATCTCCAAAGCATCCCTTGGTATTATTACTCAGAATACAGTCAGCACTTGAGAATGCTATTAAATCAGAAAGGTGGGGGAGACAAGTACCCAAACATGTACAGTAATAACGGATCAATTATGCTACATGTTCAAAAAAGGCTTTCAACAGTAGGTAAGTGGTGAGGAAACATTTAATAGAAGTGACATTTTAAACAAACCTTCACAAGGACTGGCAGCATGGCTCAAGTGGTATAGCGCCTGCCTAGCAACTGTGAGACTCTGAATTGAAATCCCAGCATGACCAAAATAAATAAATGAAACAAAACTTCGCAGATGGGAACATAAAAGACACAGTACATTTATGTACATTCCTGATCAACAGAAGTAACAAGGTCCTGAGCAAAATCAATCTCTGTTTAAAAACCAGATTAACATCACAGAATATCAAGAAAAAGAAAAAAAAAACAAAAAACAAAAAGGAAATCTAAAACAATTAAAAGAAAATTTAAAGCCACTATCTAAAAAATAAAGAATTATCTGATTCTAATGGGCCAAAAAAAAGAAAAAAAAAAAAAATCAGTCACACTGCCATGAATCTAGAAGTAATGCTTCTTTGTTGGATCTCATCCTAGATCCACACGCTTAACAAGGAGCAACTCACAGACATCTTTCCATCCAAAAGGGTCCTTCATTTAACTGCACACTATGGCTATTAGGTTTATTCTTCCAACTCATCCTTTTGCCTTTCTCCAAATTATATAAGTATTTCAATATATTTAGATTTCTTGTTCCTCAAAACTGTCAAAGAATCTAAATATGAATAGACTCAAACAAGCACCACCCTCATAAGACACACTCACCGGGAGAGTTCCAGGGAAGTGAGTAGATTGGGCACTGGGTAGACATTCACTGCTGTCAGCCCTATAAAAAACAAACAAACAGGTGATAGTAACATTCTCTAAAGGATGCAAATGAACTATATGTAAACAAGGCAAAATAGCTTAATTAAATCACCAGAGAAAAGGTGACATCTGAAACGACTAAAGATAAAAAATTACTGGGCAACTTGCCCTGACTACTGCTTGTTGTCAATTTGTCTTGGAAAACAAACACAGTTACTAATTGAAGGATACTGTGTGCTGCTGCAGTGGACACACTAGATTAAGCACTTGTTATAGCTTTTAACAAATCAACATCTCGCTTTATATGCACCACTTTAAAAAAACAACAAAAAAACCCCACCATCATTGGGGATTAAACTCAGGGCCTTGTGCATATTAGGCAAACCCTCTACCACATGAGCCACACAGCCAGCTATTTTTATTTTTTGTTTGTTTTTTGAGATAGCTAACTGCCCAGGCTGGCCTAAAACCTGTAATCCTCCGGTCTCTGTCTCCTAAGTAGATGGGATTACAGCTACGTGCCACCATGCTTCACTCTTTTTTTTAAGAATTAAAATACTCTGAGGAGGGGAGGGGGGAAAGGGTGGGGAAAGAGGCAGGGTGGAGAAATGACCCAAACAATGTATGCACATGTGAATAAATGAACAACAACAACAAAGAATTAGAACACTACATATACTAAGAGGTACACGTCATCCTGAATATGGCTTTATTATTCCCATGGATTCTTTTATGCTCTTGTGGCACACTCACAGCTAAGAAAACAGTATTTCTCTGGGTTTTAAGTTTTGGCATAATGATCATAGTACACATTTATTTAATTATGTACTTTCTTGTTCAAAAAGTATTTCTGGACTAGAGGTGTGGCTTAAGCGGTAGAATGCCTGCTTTGCAAGCGTAATGCTCTAAATTCAAACCCCAGTCCAGACAGCCCCCCCAAACACTTCTGAGATTTATCCAAATTAATATACAAAGCTTTAGTACATTCACTTCCCATTGGTGTGTAATATTCTATTGTATAAATGCATCGCTACTGATTTACCTATTTTCCTGTTAATAGTCCTATTTTTTCCTGTACTTTCACCACAGTCCTTGGGCAAATGTAAGCGTCCCTGGGATATATTCCAAGTAGGAAACCATGGCAGAGCATGGTTTACATGAATCTTCGACTTCTCGAAGGCACTCACATTCCTCAAGGCGGTTTTACAATCGACCCTCTCACTGGCAGTGTGAAGGCTGAGGAAGATGCTTTCCCTTCATTCTGGTTACACTTGGTATTGTCTTTTCTTTTTTTTGAGGAGTATAAAATGATATTACTTAAATTTTCATTTTTCTGGCACTTAGAGAAAACAAAGACTTTTTTCTTTCCGTCTTCAAGCACAGAAAACATAATTACAACTCTATGGTGAAGAACTGAGAAGAATAGTCTCAACAGTGCAAGGGCCTTTACACTGAAAACTATTGGAGGGGGGGCATGGGAAACTGGGGGGAAGGTGGCCTAAACAATATACACACATGTGAGTAAATGTAAAAACGATAAAATAAATAATTTTTTAAAAGAAGATACCTAGAAAGCAACATCCCAGAAAAATAAATAAAAATTGTACCACTGGCACCACAGGAAAAACAATTATTACTGGAGACTATTCCTACTGAAGGTAGGGACTACTCACTCTAGAACTAAGACAGCACAAACTTCTGGAGCAGGGATTGGCAAACGTTTTTGCAGAAAGCTAAACAGTAAATATTTCAGGCTTTGTGGACTAAATACAGTGTCTTACTATTACTCAATGCTGCTACAGTGACATAAAAGCAGGAATGTGTAAACAAAAGATAAACATATCACTGTGGTTGTATTCCAATAAAACTTTATCAATCAATATGGAAACTTGAATTTCATATAATTTTCACATCCCAAAAATGATTCTTTTGATTTTTTTTTTTACCCAACAATTTAAAATGTAAAAATCATTCTTTGTAGGCCAGACTCAGTCCCTGCACAGCAGTTTGCCAATCCCTGTTTTAGATGCCTATTGATACTGTTTGAACATGCTAGTCCACCTACCCAGCCCACTGATTTTACAAAATGTCTTTTATTATGCTCATTAGCCATCTCAAAGTATCTAGCCATGTCTTTTTTTAAAGTTTTTAAAAAATTTTTTATTGTTGTGCTGGGAGTACATCATGGCATTTACAAAAGTTCTTACAATATATCAAATATATCATAGCCGAATTCACTACTTCCATCATTCTCCTTTATCCCCCTCCCTCCATTCCCAGAATAGTTTCAAACAGGTATCATTTTTCCATTTACATACACGTATATACCATATTTGTACCACAGTCACCCTCCCATGCCCTTTCCCTACATACTCCCCTCCTCCACTAGTACCAATGCCCCAGACAGGACCTCTTCTGCCCTCCTGTTCTCTGATTTTGTATAAGAAAAAAGACATTTTTGTTTAAGATTGCTGTACAGGGAGTTTCCTTGTGACAGTTCCATGTATATATGTATTATAACCCAAATTGGCTCATCTCCTTATTTTTCTCCTTTCTACCTTAGTCCCCCTCCTCACGGTGATTTCAATGGGCTTAAAAATTCTATATTTATTCTTATATAGGAAGTATATCAACCATATTCACCTTCTTAGCTTCCTTCTTTTACCCTCCCTCTCTCGTATGTGACCTCCCCTTAGCATGACCTATTTTTCAGAATATTGCTTGTATTTGTATTAGGTCTATATTCCACATATGAGAGAAAACATGTGACCTTTGACTTGCTGAACCTTCTTGCCATGTCTTTTTGTGCATATCTCACATTTAAGTGTCGACAGCAAAGTTAAAAGATAAAGTGAAGTCTCAATAAGCCACAACCTCCATTTCGCAGAATGGTTGAACAGGACCACAGATGCCTTTCTTCTTAGAAAGCTCACACTAGAGCTGAAAGAGAAGAAACAGGAGGAAGGATACAGAACTCACTGTTTGAGTTGGCGTAGAGAGTTCGAAGGGAAAAGCCACTGAGTGTTAGCTCCCTCAGCTGGTTCCGCTCACAATGCAGCTGCTCCAAGCCACATAAGGAACTAAGATCCAAGTCAGTCAGCTGATTGTCCCGCAAATCCATGTGGGTGATGTATTTATTTCCCTCCAGATTTTCAAGAACCATGCCTTTCAAATGGTTCATCCTTAATATTCAGAAACAAAGAAATAATCAAAAATAAATTCTACTAAGTGTGTTTACCAAAAGAAAAACTGGAGAGGTGTATGACCCCTTTCTCTTCACTAAATAACTTAGGAATTTCACTACTTGTCTTACTTTGCAAGGTATTGCAGAAATAACCACAGATGACTTGTAAACAAGACACAACTAAGTTAGACAATCCAGACTAGCAAACATATATACAAATTAAATAAAGAGAAGGAAAAAAGAAGTCACAGGTAAACACTTTCATTCAAATACCTAGTAAGGTTAGGTGGGAATGAAGGACAAGAAGATGAACACACTTTTGGATGAATGAATAGCTAAGCAGTCACAAGAGAGAACAGCTGCCCCTCCTTCTCCCATTGCTGTGTCTGCTCTGTCTCTTGTGCTAAGACTCATATGACACTAATGGAGAAGAAAATAATCTGTACATACACAAAATAGTTCAAACAGAAACTCTAGAACATGACTTCTTGGTTCTTTTCTGTACACCTATATGATTTAATACAGGCAGGCCTGTTCTCCTTTTCCTGTATTTCAATAAATCTTTTACTATGACTTTACAAGGTACATTAAGGGCTTCCTATAAATGGTAGACCTTCTAGTAGATACTCTATCATCTTCCTTTAAGAAAATATTGTGACTAGCCAGGAACAGGGGCTCACCCTTATAATCCCAGCTACTCAGGAGGTAGAGATAGGGAGAATAGCAGTTCAGCCAGCCCAGGAAAAGCTCAAGAGAGCCCCCCCATCTCAATCAACAAGATGGGGTGGTGGCATGTGCCTATGGTCCCAGCTATGCAGGAGGCAGTAAGTAGCAGGACTGTATTCTAAGGCTAGCCCCAGGTAAAAACACAAGATTCTACCTAAGAAACAACTAAAGTATAAAAAGAGCCTGGGGCATGGCTCAAATGGCAGAGAGCCTACCTGGTAAATGCAAGGCTCTGAGTTTATACCCCAGTACCTCAAAAAAGAAACAAACAAACAAAGAAAAGAAAATATTATGACTAGAAAATAAATTCCTATAAAAAATCTTAGTACTAAAGCCTTGAACATATCAATTGTAATACAATGTTATCAAGGAAAAACCCAGCAATTCAACAGGAAAATGGTCAAGCTTATGAAAAACTAAAAACTAGTAATCATATACATATAAAAAAGATGCTCAACCTCATTCCCTAAGTAAATAAATGTGAATTAAGACACTGAAATACTATTTTCTACCTTCTATTGCCAAAAAACAAACAAAAAAGATTCCTAAAACCCAATGTAGTTTAAAGATGTGAGGAAATGGGAATTCTCATAAAATGCTGCTAAAGGGTTATGCAGAACAACCTTGTCAAAGGCAATTTGATAGTCTCTATCATGGGGTACACCTACCAGATAGAATCCTTAAACTCTCTGCTAATGGGTGATAAATGAAGTTTTACTAGAGCGTTGATAGTATCTATTTCTATGCTGTTCTAAAATCCCAATGTTTTAAAGAAGTTTTTAAGAGAAGACTTAAAGGTTCACAAGAGTCAAACTAAAGGAAGCTCTGGTAATAAAAAAAAAAAAAAAACAGCCTCACCTTAAATCCACATGCTTGATATGGCTCATCCTGGTCAGCACCCCTAAATTCAGGACTTCCAAGCAATTTCCTGCCATAACCACTTTATCTAACATCGTGAGTTTCTCATAAACCTCAGGAATTTGGTTAAAGTTGTTGAAGGAAATTCCCAAGGAGGAAAGCTGTTGCAGATTTCCCAATTCTTCAGGTAAAGTAGTCAGAAAGTTGCCATCAAGACAAAGGGTTTGGAGACTGAAGGAGGAAAAAAACAAGTCTATCTTATTAAATTTTCATTCAAATGGATTCCTGATTTATGCCACTAGGTTGTCATCAATCTCAAAATGTTAAAATATCACAACTCTCAACCCATAGATTTAACAGATGAGTTAGACACAGTTACTAAGGATGGCCCTCCAACATTGAAGAGTAAGGGCCTCTGCTGTTGAAATGGAGGCACTGGTCAATTCTGTAGGCATGGAGAACTCTGGGTCAAAAAACACTGCTGACTAGCATCCTAATAGTTACATTTTTTACTTCAAAAAGTTCAAGGTACTACCTTAATTCCAAATGCTAGACAAGTTTATTCTGCAAAGGAAAAGAGGAATCTAGAAAAAGTTAGATACTCACTTTAGCAGATTGCCAATCTGACTTGGCAGGTCATGAAATCCATTACAGGAAAGGTTGAGCTCAGTCAGGGTAGAAATCTCACATAGCAATGCAGGAAACAACCCAAGTTTATTATGAGACAAGTTCAGGCCCTTCAGTTGAGAAAATCTAAAGGGCAAAGACAAAAATATATACTATATTTCAATAAATCAGTTATATGCCTTTATAAAGGACATCAATGGCCTTTAATGATTTTTTTTTTTTGGTGGGACTGGGGTATTTGGGGGTTTTGTGAGACAGGGTCTCACTATGCACAGCCCAGGCTGGCTTCAAACTGGTGATCCTTTACTATCACTTGCTGAATGCCTGGATTACATGCATGAAGTACCATGACCAACTAAATGATCAATTTCAAATGCCATTATAGAATTTCCAAAAATATGTACTCAACACTCACTACATGCCAAATGTTGTGTGGGCCCAAAGGATACTAAGATGACTAAGTGCAGTCCACACCATCAAGGAAATTGGGGCTAGTGTGACAGAAGTTCTCTTCTCCATAAAAAGACAGAAAATCTTGAAGAACAGCTCTCATGCTGGTGCAATTCTTTTGTATCAAGTGGTATTCAATATTTCTGAAATATTTTCTGTAATTAAATTCCTGCATGTAGTATACAAAAGTCTTAGAAAAGTTAACCAACTCACAGGCAAAGGAATAGCTAAATGTAGATCAAACCCCATTATAAGCAACTTCTTTTATATTGAAATTACATTGGCTCAAAAGTTCCTTGAAATAAATGGACCAAATGAGCTTGAAAATACGTATAGAACAGCATTTTACTATAATGTGATCTGACACAAAACATGAAATAGTGTTTTTAATGCTTCTCTTTTGTTTGTAGAAGTAAATGTAGCTATAATGTCTTGCCTAGAGACAGTATGGCCAGAGTGGATCCACATGAGTCACTTTGGGAGCATGAGAGTATCACTTTTTGTTACACAAGTGCAACATGCTAAGGTTGAAGTGTTGCTCTTTGTAATGATGACCCCTACCAGCTGCTTCTAGATTTGAATCCTTGGTACTTCACTCTAATGCTCTCCCAAAATTCAACTTTTAGGATGACCTGCCTTTGATTACTGATTATATTCCTTTGACCTGGTGCTTTGAGTTCAGAATTTCTGATTCAGCCCTCTAACTGCATTAACTGTTTTCATAGCAATTCAGAAGAAAATACTAGAAACTGACTTCTTTAACATTACACAGCTTGTATTCCTTTTTATATATAATAATTATTTTTTTTTCTTGGTGTTTGAACTCAGGTCTACACACTTGCAAAGCAGGTACTCTATGCTTGAGCCACACCTCCAGTCCATTTTGCTCTGGTTATTTTGGAGGCTGGGTTATCAAGAACTATTTGACCTGGCTGACCTCAAATCTCTATCCTTCCAATCTCAGCCTCCCAAGTCATCAGGATTACAGGTGTAAGCCACCAGCACTCAGCTTATATAAAACTATCATTAAAATAACTATCTCATTACTAAATGCAGGCTTATACAAAAAACTTTCTAAAACACGGTATCAAATGAGATAAAAAGTTTTTCTGGAAATTATTCTAGAATTATAAGCTATTAAGGAAGTACATAAAATGTCATTTTAATGTATATTATCATTCTAATCATCATGTAATTTAAACCATTTTAAATACTTTAATTTCCGATTTCTCCCTTTCCTACCAGAAGCCCAGACAACTACTTATGCCACATATTTACTTGTGGGCATCCACAAGTAAATCCATTCTTAACTGGAAGAGTAATAGAGAATGAGGAGAGGATAGAAATGTGGAACATATTCTAACAAAGGAGACAGAAAAATATGTAAGTCATAGTCCTATAGAGATGAAATGGTTCCTTTATTAGAAGAAAAGGTTTCATAGGTGACAAAAGACTTAAGAGTTGGGAGTAGCAGATACAAAGGAAAGGCAAAGCTCTGCCTCTGGAATTTCAGAAATTAGGCCTGTTTGCCTGAAGTCCTTTCAATTTGATACTTCTGATTCAAAAGCTACCCAAAAATTGGATCCCCCACACTTATAGATCATGCTCCACTGTCAATGATTTACATGAAAAGCTCATCCAGATCAACAGCAACTCACAGTTCCTCCATAACAGAAATTTGCTCAATCTTGTTTTGCAGCTGGCAAGAGGGAGCAGGGATAAGAAGGTGGGAGAATTGTGTGATTAAAAATTTTTACTTTCTCTTCAAAAAGGAATGGAAAATTTAGTATACATATAAAATAATAAGTGCTATGGTTTGGATGTGGTTTGTCTCCCCAAGTTTCATATGCCGGAATCTTGGTCCTGGCAGGGTAGGAATAAGAACTGGTAGACCTTCAAGAGGTGAGGCCTAGAGGAAGGTGCTGACCTCAGAAGAGATTAATGCTGGTCTCATGAAGTGACTTAGTCTCCAAGACAATGGGTTGTTATAAAACGTTAAGCCTAGCCCCCTGAATCTCTCTGACCTCCTGCCTTGCCCTTCCATCTATCCTTCTCACATGGGCCCCACCATGATGCCTTCTGCCATGATGTGATATAAACAAAGAGGCCCTCAGAAGCTGAACTGATGGGGCCATCTGATCTTGGACTTAAAACTTCTTTTCTTTATACATTATCCAGCCTCTGGTATTTTATTAGAGAACTGAGAAATGGACTAATAGAGTAAGTGTGCTTATTTAAAGGTATAATTCACTAAGATACTGATTATAATTTGGTCTGAACATATTGGCCTGGAAACCTATTTTCCACATACTTGTAGAGTGTGTCAAGGCCCCCTGGTCTTTCTAATTGCATGAAGTTGTGTCGCAAGTTGAGGTAGGTGATATCTTGACTGTAGAAGAGATGTTCAGGAACCTCCTCCAGGCTGTAACATGAGAGGTCCACGGTACTGATTCGCTGAGACACCACCTGAATAAGGTCAAAGAAAAGAGTTTTCTAAACTAGTACTGAATGTTTTTTACCTTGCATAGAACAGAATGGTATTTGCACAAAAAGGTACTGACTAAAACTAGGAAAGATAAAAAGGTAGAAAGCCAACTGTTCATTTATAAGAAACAGTTCATTTTTACTATTCCCTGAAATCATAAACTGCTTGAAAAAGAAAGGTATAAATGCTGTGATGTCTATACAAGAGCAAATATACATATAAGTCATAATATATTTATGTATGTATAAGTATGTATCATAAAGATGGAAAGTTAACATTTCATACAAAGAGTAACATTAAGATGATTCAAAGTAACTGTACAAAACTCTTGAGAGACAGTATGATTTGAAAAGACATGGCCTTTTGTAGCCGTACCAGCTCTGCTACTAACTAGAACAGCTTCTTCATCTGTTGCAAGGATAAAATTAAATAACTAAGCACATAAGCACACTACTGAGCTTACCAGATGCTCAAAAACATTAACTACTTTTTTAAAGAGCAGAAGAATGGGACAGTTTTTTAAAAACTGAAATCAGTTCTATTCAGAGCAGACTTTATAAACAATACAATAAAAAATCCAATAGAACCGAAATCAGGTTTTTATTTCTATAATATATGCTAATGAATGACTTGTGAAAATGAATCTAAACATACAAATAGTATATCACTGGAAAAGTCACTCCTACTTTGAGGTATGACATTACACTGTAACAATGGCTTATATAAAACTCTCCAAAGATAGCTAAGAAAACAAGAGAATTTGGAAATCAAAGTACACTTTTCTAGTTGTTCATCTTTAATGGCTAAAAAGGAAAAATTATGCTAAATGGCTAATCATCCTCAGAATATACGGAAAATGGCTGGTGGTTTGTGACAAACTTAAAAGTCACTGTTCACCAACAAGCTCACATTTGAAGTGGCTCATCCAGGCTGTTCTAAACACAGATCAAGAGGCATGGGCTACAAGTCAGGGAACAGATACATTAATCACTGACTACCATGGCAGAAGGAAAGCCATGTGTCTATCGTGCCTCAATTCCTTCAAGGGTCAAATCTGTCTTTTTTTTTTTGCGGGGGCGGGGGATGTAGTACTGGGGTTTGCATTCAGGGACTCTCTACCACTTAAGCCACACTCCTAGCCCTTTATGCTTTTATTTTTCAAGTACGGTATTGTGATTTTTGCCTGGACTAGCCTGGACCTTGTTATTCCTATTTATACCTCTCAAACAGTTGGGATTACAGATGTGTACCACCATGCCCAGATTTTTTATGGAGATGAGGTCTCACTAGCTTTTTGCCTGGGCTGGCCTTCAACCAATCTCCATCTCTTCTTTTTCTTTTCTTCCTTTTTCTTTTTTTTGCTAGGAAGGTGCTCTACTATTTGAGCCACTCTGCCAGCCCCTTTTTGTGTTGGGTATTTTCGAGAGAGGATCTCATGAACTATCTGCTCAGAACTAACTTCGAACCTCGATCCTCCTGATCTCTGCCTACCAAGTAGCTAGGATTACAGGCATGAGCCACCAGTGCCCAGCCAAATCTCCACCTCTTAAGCAGCCAAGATTATGGTGTGAACCACCATGCCCAGCCGAATCGCATTGTGTTTTAATTCCTTCCAAGGCCTTGCCTCACAAAAAAGGTACAGAGTTACCTAAAATATTTCTGACAGCATCTTGTACTATGCAAATATAAAAAATAAGTTAAAGACCCAGTGAATTTCCATTATATTCATTAGACACTAAAGACCTAGAAATAAAATTCAGAATTATGACTTGCTGTCTTAGAAGTTTAGTTTCAAACTACATTTCTGTTGGGCTTCTACATCCTTATCTTCACATCAAGACATCTAATCATGTATCACCTTAGACGCTTGCCGTTGCCACCTCTGGTACTCGGCCAAAGTCTCAAAGCTGATGTGATAGGTCTGGGCTTGGGCTCCAGCTGAGCTGAAAGCAAGGGAGTGTTGTCGGCGTTTCACTTCTTCTATCTGAAGATGAAAGGGGGAACCAAAACCACTAAACAGAAATCCTCATCAAGAAGCATAAGACAAACAATCCAATTTCTTAACATGGTAAAGTATGTGAATAGGGATTTTGCCAAAGAAGATATACAAGTGGCCAATAATCTCATGACTGGTAATCAATCTCAACAGCCAATAAGGAAATGTAAATCAAAACCACAATGAGATACCATTTCACATCCACTAAGATAGTTAAAATTAAAGCACAGATAATAGCAACTAATGTATAACAAGTATTGATGGGCTGGAGGCGTGGCTCAAGTGGTAGAGGGCCTGCCTACCAAGCCAAAACCCTGAGTTCAAGTTCAAACCCCAGTACCAACAAAAAAAAAAAAAGTGTTGACAAGGATTCAGAGAAACTAGAACTCTCGTGCACTGCTGGTGCGGACACTTTAAAAACAGTCTGGCAGTTCTTCAAAGGGTTAAACATAGTTGCTCTATAACCCAGCAATTCCACTCTTACACTTATAGCCAAGAGAACTGAAAACATCCATCCACACAAAAACTTCTACATGAAGGGTCACAGCATTATTTACAGTAGCTAAAAAGTAGAAACAACCCAAATATCAATCCACCAATGAATCAATGCATAAATAAAAGGTGGCATATCAGTATGATAAAATATTATTTGGGCATAAACAGAAACAAAGTACATGGAAAACATTGTCTTAAGTGAAAGAGACCAACCACAAGGAATCATCTGTTTTATGATTTCATTTATATGAAATGTCCAGAATTGGCAAACTGTTAAAGAGACAGAAAGTAGATCTGTAAGTTGCTCAGGGTTAGGGGGACATTAATAGGATGACAACTAAGGGGTGCAGGGCTTCTTGGTCGTAAAAGGCTCCAATGATGACTACGGTGATACTTGCACAAACCTGAGTTTCTAAGAGAATGTGCCCACACATCATGGCCTGTGTATACTGTCCTCCCCCAACTCCCAGCCTTCTGCAATGAGTCACACTAACAAACCCACAGAGTAAACAATAATTCCAACACATTAACTGTGCTTTTGCTCTGTCACCAACATCTAGGTAGCATATCTCTTGTCCTTAATAGCTCAAAGTCAGAAGGCAGGACACCAGCACACTATGTCCTCCTTCCTACAAGGGACCTTTATCAAGCGATGAGTCCCATGGAAACCTCTTCCACTAGGTTTGAAGAAAAAGCAAGAAACTCCCCTCTCCCACTTCCTATTTGGGATGGTGGTAGATTTTCACAGCATAAGAACAGCTGTTCAAAGAAATTCTCACAGGATATGGCAGCACATACCTGTAATTCTAGCACTCAGGAGTCTGAGGCAGGAAGATCACAAGTTTGAAGCCAGCCTGGGCTACATTAGCAAGATCCTGTCTCAAAACAAAACAACTCTCCCTCAAATTCTTTTTTTTTTTCTTTTATTATTCATATGTGCATACAAGGCTTGGTTCATTTCTCCCCCCGCCCCCACCCCCTTCCTTACCACCCACTCCGCCCCCCTCCCTCTCCCCCCCACCCCGCCCCCTCCCTCTCCCCCACACCCCCTCAATACCCAGCAGAAACTATTTTGCCCTTATTTCTAATTTTGCTGTAGCGAGAGTATAAGCAATAACAGGAAGGGATAAGGGTTTTTGCTGGTTGAGATAAGGATAGCTATACAGGGCATTGACTCACATTGATTTCCTGTGCGTGTGTGTTACCTTCTAGGTTAATTCTTTTTGATCTAACCTTTTCTCTAGTACTTGTTCCCCTTTTCCTATTGGCCTCAGTTGCATTAAAGGTATCTGCTTTAGTTTCTCTGCATTAAGGGCAACAAATGCTAGCTAGTTTTTTAGGTGTCTTACCTATCCTCACCCCTCCCTTGTGTGCTAAAGCTTTTATCATGTGCTCATAGTCCAATCCCATTGTTGTGTTTGCCCTTGATCTAATGTCCACATATGAGGGAGAACATACGATTTTTGGTCTTTTGGGCCAGGCTAACCTCACTCAGAATGATGTTCTCCAATTCCATCCATTTACCAGCGAATGATAACATTTTGTTCTTCTTCATGGCTGCATAGAATTCCATTGTGTATAGATACCGCATTTTCTTAATCCATTCGTCAGTGCTGGGGCATCTTGGCTGTTTCCATAACTTGGCTATTGTGAATAGTGCCGCAATAAACATGGGTATACAGGTGCCTCTGGAGTAACCTGTGTCACAGTCTTTTGGGTATATCCCCAAGAGTGGTATTGCTGGATCAAATGGTAGATCGATGTCCAGCTTTCTAAGTAGCCTCCAAATTTTTTTCTAGAGTGGTTGTACTAGTCTACATTCCCACCAACAGTGTAAGAGGGTTCCTTTTTCCCCGCATCCTCGCCAACACCTGTTGTTGGTGGTGTTGCTGATGATGGCTATTCTAACAGGGGTAAGGTGGAATCTTAGCGTGGTTTTAATTTGCATTTCCTTTATTGCTAGAGATGGTGAGCATTTTTTCATGTGTTTTTGGCCATTTGAATTTCTTCTTTTGAGAAAGTTCTGTTTAGTTCACTTGCCCATTTCTTTATTGGTTCATTAGTTTTGGGAGAATTTAGTTTTTTAAGTTCCCTGTATATTCTGGTTATCAGTCCTTTGTCTGATGTATAGTTGGCAAATATTTTCTCCCACTCTGTGGATGTTCTCTTCAGTTTAGAGACCATTTCTTTTGATGAACAGAAGCTTTTTAGCTTTATGAGGTCCCATTTATCTATGCTATCTCTTAGTTGCTGTGCTGCTGGGGTTTCACTGAGAAAGTTCTTACCTATACCTACTAACTCCAGAGTATTTCCTACTCTTTCCTGTATCAACTTTAGAGTTTGGGTGTGATATTAAGATCCTTGATCCATTTTGAGTTAATCTTGGTATAGGGTGATATACATGGATCTAGTTTCAGTTTTTTGCAGACTGCTAACCAGTTTTCCCAGCAGTTTTTGTTGAAGAGGCTGCTATTTCTCCATCATATATTTTTAGCTCCTTTGTCAAAGACAAGTTGCTTATAGTTGTGTGGCTTCATATCTGGGTCCTCTATTCTGTTCCACTGGTCTTCATGTCTGTTTTTGTGCCAGTACCATGCTGTTTTTATTGTTATTGCTTTGTAATATAGTTTGAAGTCAGGTATTGTGATACCTCCAGCATTGTTCTTTTGACTGAGTATTGCCTTGGCTATTCGTGGCCTCTTGTGTTTCCATATAAATTTAACAGTAGATTTTTCAATCTCTTTAATGAATGTCATTGGAATTTTGATGGGAATTGCATTAAACATGTAGATTACTTTTGGGAGTATCGACATTTTTACTATGTTGATTCTACCAATCCATGAGCATGTCTCCCTCAAATTCTTAACAGCCCAGCTTTTATGAAGATGTACTCTTTTCTTATCTCTATTATTTACATATATATTTTATATATATATATACATACATATTTTATATATACTATATATATTTTTGGTAACAGTGGGATTTGGACTCAAGGCCTCACACTTGCTAGGCAGGCATTCTTACCACTTGCGCCACTCCACCAGCCTCAGATGTACTCTTTTCAAAGTCATACATCTTACTTTGATATGTCATAGCTACTGAATCTTGGCACATCAGTTGGAAAGTTACAAGTTATAACTTGTAAATCATTACATTTCTGGTGCCAACTAAAGACTGAATCAAGTGGCAGAAATACAAAATACTTTAAGCAAAAAAAAAAAAATTGAAAAAATTCCTTAAAATTAAATAATTTTCATAACATTCAATCATAATATTCATAACATGACCATTTTTCATTAATAAGTCAGTGCAATTGAATGAGTCTGTGCCAAAACAAAAGAGCTTATTGAAATGAAGAATAGTGTTCCAGAATAATCTTTCTTTAACATACTATGGACTGTTTCACACAGTATAGAGAACCACGTCAAAAACTGAGAAAGGTTTGTCAATCTACTAAAGTTAAGTTTCCTTTGTAATTATGTTAATTTTATATTACACATGGCAACACTACATTGTTATATATGTACATACAACTTTAGAATTTTTTTTTCATTTTTATTAGCATATATTCATTGTTCAGGGGGGTTCATTGTGCCAATTTGAAGTTTTAAATATTCATAATAAAATATTCCTTTCACCATTTTGCAGAGAGATTTTTTTTTAAATCACCACTAATGCGTTTTCCATTTAAGTTTCCTGAAGGAAGGTCAGTTTTACTGAGTTTAAACATACCAAAAATAAAATTCAGATTTTCAAATCCACTGATTTGACGTGAACTGTCAGATGAATTTTTATAAATGATTAAAATGTGCAGCCCTATGCCCCCCAAAATCTCCCTTGTCCCCTTTGCAGTCAATCCCCTCCCTGTAACCACTGATCTGTTTTCTATCACTATATTTTTGCCTGTTTCAGAATGTCATATGAAAGGAAACATACAGTAAGTGGACTTTTGGGTCTGGCTTCTTTCCCTTAAATAATGCTTTCCAGATTCATCCTTGTTCTTGTGGGGTTGGGGTTAAGGGGGTGGGTGGGTGTGCGTGCAGCTCATTCCCTTCCACTGCTTAGCAGTATTCCATTGTGCAGATCACATTTGTCTATCAAATCACTAGTTAATGAGCACTTGGGTTGTTTCTGGTTTGGGCTATTATAAATAAAGCTGCTATCCACCTTCACTTACAAGTCTCTGTAAGGACAAATGTTTATTTCTCTTGGGTAAACAACTAGGAGTAGAATTGTTGAGTCATCTGATAAGCACATGTTTAATTTTACAAGAAAAGAGCAAACTGTTTTCCAAGGTAACTTCGTTCCAATCAGTGACATATAAAAATGTTTCAATGCTCCATATCTTTGCCAAACTAGGTATTCATCAGTCTTAATTTTAGCCATTATAGTGGTATGCAGTATCTCACTGTGGCTTTTATTTTCATTTTTCTAACAACTAATGATGTTGAAGACTTTTTCATGTGTTTATCTGTTGTCTGTATATCTTCTTGTTAAAAGGTCTGCTCAAATCTTTTGTCCAATCTATACTGGGTTATTTTTCTTTTTATTACTTAGTTGCAAAAATTCTTTATACACTCTGGATACAAGTTCTTTGTTGTATGCAAAATTTCACAATAAGTTTTATATAGGGTTGGTGGAGTGGCTCAGATGATAGAGTGCTAGCCCAACAAAAAAGTTTCATATGATATTAATATAAAATATAACCACTCAATTTTTTCTTGCTTGCTATCTAACTAGTATATATTTTCCTATCATTTCATTTTCAACCTTCTCAGAGTAGGTTTTGAATATATCTCTTATAAACAACAAATAGTATTTTAAGTAACATAATCTGATAATCACAATTACTGTGATCACTGACATATTTGAATTTATTTATATCACTACAGTTTGTGAAAATTTACTATGCCAATTATTTTACTCCTTTCCCCAAGTTTCCCTATCTTCCTTCATAGTTTCAGTCTTTGGTATTCTTTTTTCCCCTTTTTTACTTTTAGCAATTACCTTTAAATTTTTTAATTGATATTTTGACAAATTTTCTAATAAAGTTTAAAATATTTTGGTGTTTCTATCCTCTCATCTCATGATTTTTGAGCACATTGCCACATCTTATACTCTTCTTTAGAGTAGTCTGACCTTAGAAGAAATATGAATGTTTAACCTTACAATCACTATTAAATTTTCTACCATATTTTATCAATGTGTATACTCATCATTATTTTCCTTTTCCCTTCCCTCCCCCTCCTCTCCCCTTCCCTTCTTTCTCTCCCTCTCTCTTTTTTTGGAGGGGAGGGGATCTAGATGTATATCTTTCAGTAGTTCTTTCAATGAGAACCTGTCAGCTTCATAGTCTTTATACATCTAAAAATGTTTCATTTTGCTTTGACTCTTTTAAGATAGTTTAGCTGGGTATAAAACACAAGTTGCCATTTAGTTATTTTCTTTCAACAATTACCTTTTTTTTTTTTATGATAAGGCAACTATTAAGTCTGTCATTCCTTTGTAGATAATCTTTTTCTCTTTGCTGCCCACACTGGCCTAAAACTCCTGGGCTCAAGAGATTCTCCTGCCACAGCTTCCCAAGCAGCTAGGACTACAGACCAGAACTACCACACCTGGCTTTCTCTGAAAACTTTCACATTTGCTCCTAACCTTTATGTTCTGCAATGTGTCTAAGAAGGAATCCAAAGAAACTAAAGCAGATACCTTAAAGCAACTGAGGCCAATAGGAAAAGGGGACCAGGAACTAGAGAAAAGGTTAGATTAAAAAGAATTAACCTAGAAGGTAACACCCATGCACAGGAAATCAATGTGAGTCAATGCCCTGTATAGCTATCCTTATCTCAACCAGCAAAACCCCTTGTTCCTTCCTATTATTGCTTATACTCTCTCTACAACAAAATTAGAGATAAGGGCAAAATAGTTTCTGCTGGGTATTGAGGGGGGGAGCGGGAGGGGGTGGAGTGGGTGGTAAGGGAGGGGGTGGGGGCAGGGGGGAGAAATAAACCAAGCCTTGTATGCACATATGAATAATAAAAGAAAAATGAAAAAAAAAAAAAATAAGAAGGAATCCATATACTTTTAATCTAAGCATTCTTGTTTGTCTTCATTTCCAAAAATTTTTCAGTCATTATTTTTTCAGCTCTTATTTCTCTCTTACCTTTTGTTCTCTATTCTGGAACTCATATAGCCTGTATACAAGTCTCTTTTAAGGGCTCTTAATTCTTTTTTTAATCTGTGAAATTCCTGAGTACATTGGTTGATTATAGTGGCTTAAGAAAAGCAAAGTGGGAATGGGGGGAGTCAGGAGTCAGTCCAGGACTGGTACAGCAACTCTCTAACATCAGCAACTAATCAGGCTCCTCCTGCTTTCCAAACAGCCACACTTAGCTCATGGTAACCACATGACTCCTTGATCTCCAACAATGAGGGACTGTGTTCTACAAAGGGAGGTAGAATAGAACAAAGGGTCAAACCATTCATGTCTACTCCATTTTAAAGGGTTTTCCCACAAGTTTCACCTGGAAACTTCTGTTTATACTTACTAGCCATCCCTAGCTATAAGAAAGGGTGGAAGATAACAGTTTTTGATCTTGGGCCTCATGCTAGCCTAAACGAAATTCTGTTCCATTAGTAAGAGAAAGAAAGAATGGATAAGAATCAATTTACTTTAAGGCCACAGGTGGGCTCAAGAGGTAGAGTACCTGCCTAATAAGCACAAGGCATAGTTCAAATCCAAGTACCATGGCAGGCAGGGGAGGGAGGGAGAAAATGGCTTTACGCTATTAGTCAATTTTCACTGTATGATTTAGAATTGATTCACTTACTAAGTTTTAAATTTAATAACTATATTTGCATTTCTAATATTCTAATTAAATCTTTTATAGCTACATATTCTTATTCCAGAATTTCTTTTCCTTTTCCATTCTTCCATTCTGTCTCAGAAAACCCTAAACAAATTTATTTTCAATATACTCATTTATAGCCAGGAGATGGTGGCTCATGACTGTAATCCTAGCTACTCAGGAGGATCACAGTTTGAAGCCAGCCTAAGGCAAATAGTCCGAGAGACCCTATCTCAAAACAAAAACTTCACAAAAAAAATGGCTGGTGGAGTGGTTAGAGGTGTAGGCACCAGTATCACAAAAATAAATAAATAATAAATTTCCATCTCAAACTGAACTGGGCTTATCTTCTAATTTTTTTGTGGATCTCTTCCCTAACATATAATTTCCAAGTGGTTTTTTTTATTATTATTATTTGCAAGCTTTTTAGATGGGAGGTTCATTTTCTTTCTTGATCTTACTCTTTTCCCTGCTTCCTTTCTACCAATCCTCAATCTTATCTTCACTCACCTTTTCCCTCTCAAGCAATTTTACTTTCTTTACTCTGTCCTTCAGCCTGCAAGAACAGAACCATGTCGCATATTGGCAGTGGTAAGTTCCTGCCCCTTGGTTGACAATGGAGCTACATTCATTCATTAAGCCAATGGAGAGTTGCTTCAATTCCTGGTCACGGGCCATGTAACTGGACCCTCCTACATTTTTAGGACCCTATCAAGACACAAGGCTTGATTTCAGCCAGTGGTTAGTAGTTTTTGATTTTAGCTTTTTTAAACTATGAGCCTGGCCTAAATCTCCCATCATGAGCAGAGAATTTTTAGACCTGCATACTTAGAGCTGAACTCTTAAACTGAATACCTTCCAGACTCAAAGACCAGCAGGTTCACAGATTCAGACCTACTAACGACCTTATGTTTGTACTGTATATTTCCAGACCCAGATATTCTTTACACTTATTTATTTGCTTGTTTTTGTAGTACTGGGGTTTGAACTCAGGCCCTTACACTTGGTACACAAACACTTGAGATACATCTCCAGTCCTTTTTGAGTTAGGTTATTTTTCAGATGGAGGTTTTGCTTTTTGCCTGGGGCTGGCCTGAAAATATGATCCTATCTTGCCTCTCACTTAGCTGGGATAACAAGCATACATCATCATGACCTGCTTATTTTATTGAGATGGGGGGTCTCGCTAACTTTCTGCCTCGGCTGGCATCAAACTGCAGTGCTCTCAGTTTCCACCTCCCAAGTAGCTAGGATTACAGCCCAGAATGAATATTCAAAGCATGACTTCACAAGGCCATTTTGTTTGGAAGTTCTCTTAAAATCACATTAGTTATGCCATTCAAGATTCAAAACAAAAGAAATAAAATTATATATAGCTTTCTATAGGAATAAGTCATTCTGTTTTTCTAACAGGAAGTGAATTTCTTTTCTGGGAGGGCAAATCCTCTAAGATAGATGCAGAAATAGCACATCTCCCTGGCTGCTGCACTGAGGCATATGACTACCCAGACTCTAGATTTTAATCTAATGGGGAAAAAGAGGAAACTGAAAATAATCTATTTGGTAAGGTTTTGGCAGCTCCTTCTAGTTCCCAAGACAGCTTCTACTCTTGGTGTTACCAGCAACAGCATCCAGTGCCTATCAGTGGAAGCGAGGGTGAAAATCTTCATTGACGGTTCTGCTGCAGGAGTTGAGGAAATGGATGGCCTCTGAACCTTCCAGAGAGTCTGTGATACAATCATTAATGATGCTCATATTGGCTTCTTTGGAAAGATAGGGGGGAAAGCTATAAAAAGCATTTGTGATATTTTCTTCCTTTTTTAATTTTCTATGCCGAGGATCAAACTGGGCCTTTGCGCATGCTAATCAAGTGCTCTACCACTGAGCTACATCCTTTGACTTAATTTTCTTAATAATCAAATGAGTAATTCATCTTTATGAGTCTTACCTTCCCCCCAACCAGAGGCAAAATGTGCATCTTTCCAGTTTGACAATCTTTCACTGAGGAAACAATAAGGCAGGTACCACAAAGAACAACTAGGCGTTCAGCCCACTTATGCAGCTGGGTCTTTCCCTTGCGTACGTTATAGATGCCAGACAGTAGGATTCGATCCAGATGATCCATCTGGCATGGTTTTTCTGAAAAAAAAAAAAAAAAAACAGTACTTCAGAATCCACCATTAAAATATTATAACATTGGAAGGGAAAATGCAAGCATTATCTGCCAGCATTCAGCAACTTTATTTATAGATATAGATGCAAGCAAGCAATATGGGTTTTACAAAATAAACTCTCGGTCCTAAAATAATACCCACCATTGCACTCACATAGTGGAAATACTTGTGAATTATAGTCTACAAATCAAGACTTTTACCTCAGATGTCATTGTTAACTCTTTAAATAGCCTTCTCTCATACAGACACTGCAGAGAAAGGCAGCACGGCACAGAGGTTAAGATCATGTACTTGGAGTCAGGCACACTCGAGTTTGAATCCCAGCTCTACCACTTTGCTTCCTTGAACTACCCAATCTCACTGAGCTTTATTTTTCTCATTTATACAGTATGGATTTTACCAACCTATCTTGGTTTGGATTTTATTAATCTCCTGCCTTCAAGGTGTTCTTGTAAAAAACATAATATGAAGAACCAACATTTTAGGTACAAAAGCAGCATGGAATCAATGACAGCCACTATTGAGATTAGTCTATTTTAAAAGGAAGAAAGTAAGAACCGTAGGAGTTCTGTACACAATTCTCCCTCTCTGTCCCTCACAAGGAAAAACTTATGGTTGGTATTTCAATCAACATTTCTCATGGCGTGATGGCAGAAGCAGCACACATGCGCAAGTTTCTCTTTCTTCATGTATCCTTCCTCCCATCACAAGTCTTCATATGACTAAACACAGTGAACAAAGAGCACATTCAGACAGAAGAGATGGCAAAAGCACTACCAGAAACAGGTAAGTACCATTCACAGAAATAAGAGGAGCAGCAGGAGTGTGAGGTGGTATAAATGGTAAACACAGAGCTAGGAAAACCAGAGTGTTCTTTAAATAGCCCCACACACTGGTAGTGTAACCTTGGGCATCAGTCGGCTCACTTAACCAGGTGTTTCCTCATAGGTAATTTTAGGACTAGGGGCATGGCTCAAGTGGTAGAGTACCTGCCTGCCAGGTGTGCAGCTCTAAATTCAAGACCTAATACCACCAAGAAGTAAATAAATAAATAAAATCTTGTATGTCAACAGCAGACTTACTGGATGGCCATTTCTCCTTCTATTGCAAGCAATCCTTCCACCTATATTCTAAATTCCATCTTCGTCAGGGAGTTTGGTTCTCTCAGATCTACATTTTCTAAGTTCTAGTTCCACATTTCCAACTACCTACCAGACATCTCCAATTGCATGTTCACCACCACTTAAAATTAAACATGCCTAAATCAAGCCATCATCATCCCGGTAAACCAGCTCTTCCCACAACTCAAGTCTGTCATCTCCCAAAGTCACTCAGACTCAAAAATCACAGTCTACTTCAACTCTTGGGTTCTCTTCCTCAACTTACTTTTTCAATCAACTATTAACTCTTGCTGATTATTCCTTTGAAAAGTCTCTTATAGGAAGGATTGTTTCCCACTCCCTAATTCAGATCCCTTCTGAATTATCCATACTGGTACAGGATTCATCTTCCTCTGGCTTGCTTGGATCCCTTCACCTTCTGCTGCCACTTGGCAATGAAGGTTAAACTGACAGTACACTCACAGCTCCAATCTAGACTCAGACTGCAATGAAACATGCAATGAAATTCCTAACCCCCGACTTCTGTCCCTTTTCATTTCTGCTTACTAAAATGGTATATTTTTAAAGAAACAACTCAAATATTACTTTTTCCCAGAGTTCCCTGATTACTGAAGAGTTCCCTGATTTTCCAGAGAAGAACACGGATAAGAAACTGCCCTATCAGCTACCAAAGTATATCACATATATGTATATGTGTTTGGTATTGGTATAAGAAAAGACAAATAAATCAAGGAAACAAGATCAAGTCCAAAACTAGATCCTTGCCTACATAGGAACTTAATTTTAAAAAGGACTTATATCCCTTACCTTATGCTGTATTTTAAAAATATAAAAGTTCTGGAATAAAATTCATAGTATCTTTAGGATGGACATGGAATATAAAAGCATAGTAAGAAAAATTGTGCATAAAGTTTTAAACTTCTGCACAATAAAAAATAAGTCAAAACTAAAAGTTAGGGCTAATGAAGTGGGTCAAGTAGTAGAGCGCCTGCCTAGCAAAGTTTGAGGCCCTGAATTCATATCCTAATACTACCAAAACAAACAAACCCAAAAAACTAAAAGTTGCAGGCTAAAAAATTCAGCATCCAAAGGATGTATATTCAGAATACAAGCTCTTAAACCAATTTGAAAAAAGAAACAGAAATATATATAAAATATCAATGGGTAATGTAAAAGAGAAGAAATCTAAAGCTTCAATGAAAATATGAAATAATTCTCAACCATACTAAGTAATCAGGGAAACAAAAACAAACAGTTCATGCCTATAATCCCAGCTATTTGGGAAGCTGAGATCAGGAGGAGGGAGGCTCAAGGCCAGCCCGGGCAAACAGTTCACAAGGGCTCATCTTCAAGATAACCAAACAAAATGAACTGGTAAAGTGCCTGCTTTGCAAGTGCAAAGCCCTGAGTCCACCAAAAAAAAAAAGGAAAGAGAAAGATACATTCATCTTACAACATTAGAATAAAAACTTAAAAAGATGTGGGCAAAGGAGTACTGTGAAATACTGACTAAATACAGAAGGTTTTTTTGCAAGGGCTGAGAATGAGCTCATTCACAGAAGATGGAACATGTTTCACCTTGCATGCCTGAGGCCATGGGCTGGATCCTCAGCACTGCTGGGTGGAGGGGGGGAGGGCAGAAACTGTACTGCAGTAGTTAACTACTAATGTTTTTAAATGAAAACATCCTATGACTCAATAATTTCATGTTTAAAGATCAACTCTAAAGAAGCACAAAGTACACCAAGAGTCACTTTTTTTTTTTAGAATGCTATTTATAACAGGAAAAAAGAAAAAAAACAACAACCCTGGAAACAATGTAAAGTCCATCACTAGACAAATAGTCAGACTATAAATATCATGAATAAAATTAATGATATTTAATATGATGAATCTTAAAGAAATACACAGATATTGTGGCTTTGCAAATACTGATAAAGATCTCTAAGACACACTATTGCTGGGTATAAAAGCATGAAAACCAATACCAATTGATATCATCTATGTACATAAAACCCATGTATTTCTACAAATATATACTACATAGAAATAAAAAGTTAGAAAATCCTGAAGAAATACACAACAAATTGATAGCAGTGGTTATCTATAAAGTAGTTAATGGACTTGGGAGGTAATCATAACAAATTAAAACACTACAGATAGTGATCTTATATTAGTAATTTACTTGTGTAATTAAACACAATGTTTTTTTTATTGTTTTATTATTCATATGTGCATGCAAGGCTTGGTTCATTTCGCCCCCATGCTCCCACCCCCTCCCTTACCCCCCACTCTGCCCCCTCCCTGTCCCCCCTACCCCCTTAATACCCAGCAGAAACTATTTTGCCCTTATTTCTAATTTTGTTGTAGAGAGAGTATAAGCAATAATAGGAAGGAACAAGGGGTTTTGCTGGTTGAGATAAGGATAGCTATACAGGGAGTTGACTCACATTAATTTCCTGTGTGTGTGTGTTACCTTCTAGGTTAATTCTTTTTTGATCTAACCTTTTCTCTAGTTCCTGGTCCCCTTTTCCTATTGGCCTCAGCTGCTTTTAAGGTATCTGCTTTAGCTTCTCTGCGTTAAGGGCAACAAATGGTAGCTAATTTTTTAGGTATCTTACCTATCTTCACCCCTCCCTTGTGTGCTCTCACTTTTATCATGTGCTCAGAGTCCAATCCCCTTGTTGAAACACAATGTTTTAAAAGGGAAAATGTATAAATAGCAATTACAAATATGAAATTGCACATAAAATTAGACTAGGAAAATACAGAATCATAAAAGTAATTGTATGGCCAGGCACTCACACCTGTAATCTAGCTACTCAAAAGGCAGAGATCATGAGAACTGAGTTTTGGGGCCAGCCCAAGCAAATAGTTGCAAGATCCTAACTTGAAAACAACCAACACAAAAAAGGGCTGGTGACTGACTCAAGTGGTAGAGTGCCTGCCTAGCAGGCATGAGCCCTGAATTCAAATCTCAGTACCACCCAAAAAAATTAAAAGTATATTAGTGTAACAGGATGTTTTTCCATGATACTACTTCTACATTTTAACAAAGAAGTTTAAATTAAAAACAAGAGATTGTACATTCTGCAATTTGGGGCAAAGATTAATTTAACAATGAAACCTGATATTGGCATAAGTTTTGGAAAATGAGTACTCTTAAATTCTATTAAAGAAAGTGCTTACTGATATCATCTAACATTAGGAAAGTTTAGTCAAAATTTAAAATGTATGTAAGTAATCACTCAAAAATTCTACTTAAAAGAATAATGTCCTCCTCTTTCAACCTTAAAGGGTAGATGTTCCCTGATGTGCATAATAACCATTTCTTTACTGTCTTTATATTTTTACCAATTATGCAAACATTCTATATAAATTATAGTAGACTAGGTTACCATAACAAACAGGATATAATGACTCGAATACAACAGACATTTAATTCTATACAGGTGGGCATTCTGAGTAGCCAGGAGTCAACACTATCATTCAGAAACTCAGATTGATAGTGGCTCTGCCTCTTTCAACACTTGACTTTAAATACTGTTCACTGTCATTCCTAGTCCCTGGGAAAGGAAAAGAGCACTGGGCACAGAAAACAGGTGAAGAAGTGGCACTCATCAATTCCACCCAAACCATGAAGAAAATATTATTCTCTGTACACACCTAACTCTAACAGACTAGGAGATGAGGTGAAGCTGGGCAGTCATATGCCAACTCCAACTCTATTATTAAGGAAAAAGGAAAAGAACAGATTTGGATAGACAGACAGTAGTACTGCTATATATCTCTAAACAATATGGCTGAGATTTACCTGTTTTTAAACTTTAAATGAATGGAAACATACTATATTATTCTTTTATGTCTGGTTTGTATTTATCCTCTTTGTACAAAATGTTCTTTTTTGCAGGGAGGAGGGGGGTAATGGGGTTTGAACTCAGGACCTACACCTTTAGCCACTCCACCAGGCTTATTTTTGTGGTGGGTTTTTTCGAGATAGGGTCTCACGGCTCTATTTGCCCAGGCTGGCTTTGAACTTCGATCTTCCTGATCTCTGCTTCCTGAGTAGCTAGGATTACAGGTATGAATCACTGGCACACAACTTTACAAAACTATTTTAAACAATGTGTGCAGAGAATGTGGTACAGAAAGAAATGCCCAGTTAGAGTTATGCCATCTGAACTATGACTTCCAAAGCAAATCAGACTCTCCAGACTCCACTTCCTTTTACACACAAGTAAGAATAAGAAGGTATTGATTAATGCACTTCCTTAATCTGAGATTGATCATGCTATCCACTCAACTTTAGTGAAAAAAAAATGTTATTTCCATGGTAGGTATGTATGCATTTGCAATGCTGGAGATTGAACCTAGGGTTTCACACATGTGAGGCAAGTGCTCTACCACTGAGCTATACCTAGTCCTTTTCCATGACTTTTATCCCATGAATTTGCACTCAGTCATTCCACTCACTTTTCTAGGGCACTCCCTCTCCAGCCCAACTGGTAATTAGCAATTGTAAAAAGGCTGCCCTGGGATACAGAACATAACAACATTAACTGGTTTGAACTTAGACCCTCATGACCTTGGCCTCATCAACATTGAATTCTAACTAAGCTGACTCACCAAAGATTCTACACATGACATATTTAAAGCTGATTACTCAGCTCTTAGCTTCAAAGAGATACTTCAAAACTATCTTTCCTTCTGTTAACTGTGATTGTCTCTGGATTAGGAATTGAGAAACATGAGAGAGAAACATCCTTTTTTGATGGTTTTAACATGTGTCCACATATTCTCTGATATGCCTCCCCTTCAAAAATTGGAGCCTAATTCTCTTTACCCTCTCTATAGGGTGGGTTGTGATTAGTGAGTCACTTCTTAACAAACAGGAACTGATAAAACTGATGATGACTTACCATAAAAGACATTAAGGCCTCCATGTGTATGCATGCATGTATGTGTATATATCTCACCACTAGAAGAAGCTAGCTGGCATGTTGGGAAAATAGTTCGGCAGCCCTATGGAGAGGTCCACAAAACAAAAACCTGAAGTCTCCCACCATGTTGAGGAATTGAGGCTGCTAAGCAATGGCCAGGAGTAAGCCAAGTTAAAAAGTGAATCTTCTGGGCTGGGGGCGTGGCTCTAGCTCTAACATGCTTGCCTAGAAAGCTTGTGGCCTGAGTTCAAATCCCCAGTACTACCAAAAAGTTTTGGGTTTTTTTTGTATTTTTGTTTGTTTGTTTGTTTTTTTCCTTAGTACTACCAAAAAGTAAAAAAGTTCATTAAAAACAAAAAATGAATTTCCAGCCCCACTCAAGCCTTCAGATATTTACAATCTCCTAAGACCCAGCAACTGCTCCTAGATTTCAAACTCATAGAAACTGTAATTTATTATCATTTTCAGTCACTAAGTTTTGAAGCGATGAGCCAACAGATAACTACTTCACCAATTTATCTACCTACCCTCCTACCTACCAACCTACTATTTCTTGCCTTTTGGTTTTGGTATTAGACACGCATATTGCCTATTTTCAAAAATAATGAAAAACCTCCTTCCTGAGCATAATTTTCTGATTCTAATTATACTAGTTTTTCTACATTAACAGAGCTCACTTTTAGAAAGGTTCCATATCTAACACTCACCACCACCATCAAATGTACGTACTACAAACCACTCTTAGTCTGTACTGAAAATAAAGAGCGTTATAAGATCTTGGTCATGCTATAATTTACCAAGTTGTGGTAGAAAATTAGTAGCAGCAGAGCCAAGAAGTCTCAATAGTAGCTCAATGGCATTTTAAGGCTCAACTTTCATTCTAGAATGAAAATGTATAATGAAGAATTTGGTCTGTCAGGTAAGAAGCATGTTACTGTTGCAAGTGTTTTGTTTGTTTTCATTAGAGGTACTGGGGTTTGAACTCAGGGACACACATTTGCTAGGCAAGTGCTCTACCACTTGAGCCATTCTACCATCCTTTTTTTGTGTTGGGTATTTTTCAAGATAGGGTTTCTCAAACTAGTTGCCTGGGCTGGATTTGAACTGCAAGTCTCCTGACCTCTGCCTCCTGAGTAAACAGGATATACGCATGAGCCAATAGTACTGGCTTCAAGTTTTGTTTTGTTTTAAATCAAGTTTTACAATACTAGATGGGCTGCACCCTTAACCTAGTATTAATGATTTTCTCAGCTTTAACTTCAGTGTGGCAACTCTTCTCCCTCCATGAACTACCAAAGGATCTTCCTTATATTTCCTTCTGGTACTTACTTACTCATCCATTCACATACTCTCATGTCATTCAAGAACTATGCATGTGTCAATATATTTTTTTCCTTCCTTCCTTCCACACGTGCTAGGCAGGCAGAGATACCACTTGAGCCGCTCCACCAGCCCCTATTTTCCTGTCTCTCTTACATAAGAAGTAATATACTATATACATACTTTTGTATATTCCTTTCACACTTAACTGATGACTAATGTTACTCCATTTCAGCCTATAGAAAAACAATCACCCCCCCTCCATTCTTTTTTTTTTTAGGACTGTGAAGGACTGTAAGAATGACAGGTGCTATACCTTAAAGGCAAGTATTATATAATTTCAATATGTCATTTCAAAGTCTAATTCAGGGGCGATACTACTAGGTATTAATTTTTTTTTAATTATGGAACAAGAAAGACACTACCACAATAGTTCAACCACACATTTAATTGTGCTGTGATACACATTTAATATGGGCATTACCAGAAAATACAAACAGAACCTGCAAACTAACCTAGAAAATAAGTTATTCTCTAATTATAGGATCCAATGTAAATGTTTTTACATTTTCTGAGAATAATTCAGAAAAGGCTCAACAGATAGAGCTGAACATTTATCCCTTCTTTCCTTCCTTAAATGCAATGCAGATTATGATTCTGAAATAGAAACAGTATCAGATAACCAATGCTACTTTTCTTCCTACAGTAACCTATTTGCTAAATAGAAAATTCTTAGCTAGTTTCCTCAGAGATAAAAAGCTAAAGCCAGGCTTTGGGGGCACACACTTGTAATCCTGGCACTCAGGAGGCTGAGGCAAGGAGGAGTCATGAGTTCTAAGCCAGCCTGGGCTACATAATAAAATGTCTTTAAAAAAAAAAAAAAAAAGTTAAACCCTGTATTGCTCTAAAAATTACAAAATACAAAAATCACTTAGCCTTTAGTCACAGTAATACTTAATACAGAAGTGTGTTACCATAATTAACTTTTTGTGTGTGTATAGTGCTAGGGATTCAGCCCAGGGCCTTACACATGCTAGGCAAGCACTTGAATACTGAACTACATCCTTGGTCAGAATTAACTTTTAAAATTTATTTCTTCCTTAGATTTAATTCTCAAAAGCTGATACTACAGACCAGTATGGCTAACCATAAAATTAATATTAATTTTTATATTAATTAATTTATATTAATTAATATTAAATTTTATAATACTAAAATTAATATTAATATATCTGGCCAAAGGTAAATAAGAAAAAAAAACTCATAAGAATGATCTTTACAGCTGAGCACCGTAGTGCATGAATATAATCACAGACTCTAGTGGAGGCAGGAGAATCACAAGTTCAAGACCACCTGAGCTACACAGTGATCTCAAAATAACAAATAAATAAATAAACCTTTTCGAAGAGGTGAAAGGAAACAAAAAACAAGATTACAAAGCACAGGGCATTTCAAAAGATAGAAATTAATGGGATTTTAAAAAAAGGAAACTAACTTTTAAGAAACTTTATGTCATAAAATACTATGATGAAAAATTGTAAAACCTTTTGTGAAGTGCATTTAATAAACTGGTTTATCACATAATGTTCATGGATTGTATCGAGAAGTATGCAGAAAACAGTCAATAAATTAAGAAATGAGAGTACAGATTCTCAGCACATGGTTATGCTGACATACATTAATAATTTAACCATCCTGGCTCGAATGTTTAGTAAGGTCATATCAATTCAAAACTGTAGGCGTCAAATAGCTCTGTCACTTACTAGTTATGTGACATCAACCACATTACTTAACTTCTCTCCCTCAGTTTTCTTTCTGTAAAACGGGACAGTAGTTCCTACAGCATGGAGTGGCTATAACGAGTAAATTGATCAGTTCATAAGTATAAAAGCATAATAAATACTTAGTGAGCTAAGTATAATTAGAAAGTAACATTCATAAGAAGTATCTCACTTTAATACGTCTAAATTGAAGTGATCAGATGGTGAAAAACAGTCTTCACCAATATACAAATCGGACTCAGCAAACATCAAGTTCAACACTACTGAACTATCCAAAAGTTCATAGACTTTCAAGGAATTTAAAAAATTAATACTGAAGCATGATCTGATCAAGATTCTGTCAAAGGTACAAAAATAGTTATAGTAAGTTAGCAAAAAATAAGAGTAAAAATAAAAAGGAAATGTATTTTTGCTAATACTTTAAAATCTTCCCTAACTGACTTTTTCTTTTTATTGTAGTTCAGTCATTTTTAATTGCATTAGTTAACTGGCTTAAAAATAGCTTTTGTTAAATATTTTTTAAAAGCTGAAGGTACAGAAAAACACAAATAATCAACTTAAAAGCAGTTAACATATTCACAAAGCCATTGATAAATTCTTACCACCATAAAATCGAATCATACAGCCAAGGTCAGGATTTGTAGCCTCCTCCTGTATGCGCACAGGGTCCTCGAATCCCAGCCTGGACAAGTAGTCATAAACAATCTGCAGAGGTTGTTCAGCAGGTTCCAGTCTCCTACTTAGACAATTCAAAAGAAAAAATGTGGTAAATAATAAAAATGCTTTGATTTTCTCTAATCTTTCAAAACACTCTTGCATTTTATTTCTAGGTCAAGATCTTTAACATCATAAGGAACAACTACCAGACAAGTAGTTTTCAAAGTTTTGGTCTTGGGGGTCTCTTTATGCTCTTTAAGGAGTTCCAAGACCTTCTGTTTACGTGGGTTATATCTATGATAATTACTGAATTAGAAATTAAAATTAAGAATTGCCAAAGATTCATTTGTTTACCTTAAAATAACAATATATTCATGCTAAAATTTTTAAAATACATTTTCAAAAATAAAACAAGTTTAGTTAAGAGTGGTAACGTTTTACATTTTTGTAAATAACTTTACAGCTAGTTTAATGGGAACACAGCTACATTCTCAAATCTGGTTCTGTATTTAAACTGCTGGGATAACATGTCATGCAACATCTAGAAAGTTCCAATGCATATTCATATAGGATGGCAAGTGAAAAAGAAAATTAATATGTTACTAAAACATAGTTTTGGTTTCACACACCTCCATAAAGAATCTTAGAGACCCTTCAGGATCCTTTGAGAACCTCTGATCTAAATTAAAAGTCAGCAAAACTATGAGATATAAAAGGTTACACTTGGCTATAACTGACTTCATATAAACTACACACAAAAATATAAATGGAGACTTTGGGGTTCCCTACTCTGTCCCAGGCATGATTATTTCCACTAGCTCCATATAAGTACTTCCATAAGAACTGGAAATGAATAGCCCAGTAATTCCCCCAAATCATTCTACTACATGGTCCACGCTAAAATCAAAGGTAAAGCTAGAATATCTAGTAACCATTTATGGCCCCTGGAAACACCGAATATTAAATCAGAAAGACCTGAAATACTTCAAAAATATTTAACAAAACAAAAATATCAATGCTGCAGCAGTTATAATAGTAGGACAGATCTTTTACCATGCTTTTATCAGAAAGCAAACAGTAATAAAGTGGCTAAGAATATGGGTTCCAAAAGTGAGCATGACTGGGTGTGCATCTCAGTTCTGCCATTTAGTAACTGTATGCCTCGGCCCAAGTTATTTAATCTTTCTTAAATTCCTCATCAGTATAACAGGGAAATAAACTAAAAATATAACTCATAGGGTTGCTATTCAATTTATCTATTTACTTAAAAGATATTATATAACGTGTAAAAGTGCTTAAAAATATCTTGCATGTAATAAATGTCCAATAACATGTTAACAATCATAATTTTTAAAAACATTGTAAGATTAGAGTGACATTTTAATTACATTAAGAACAGCGTACCTCTTAAGCTGGCATAGTGGCTAACGTGGTAGAATGCCTGCCTCACAAGCATGAAGTCCTGAGTTCAAACCCCAGTACTACCAAAAAAAAAAAGAAAGAAAGAAAAAGAAAACACAGCATCTCCCCAACCTGAAACAACCAAAAACCAAGCACTACAGAAAGGCCTCTGCTTAGCTGGTTCAAGTAGTAGAGTGCCTGCCTAGCAAGCAGAAGGCCCTGAGTTCAAACCCCAGTGCCACCAAAAAGTCTATGTGTGTTCAAAAGACCTTCAGAAACATTTTTTAAAAGGATAATGATTAGAAAACTCATGAGATTTACCTGGTGCCAATGGCTCACACCTGTAATCCTAACTAACTGAGAGGTCAAGAGGATCACGGTTTGAGGCCAGCCCAGGCAAATAATTCATGATACATCTATCTCCAAAATAACCAGAGCAAAATGGACTGAAGGTATGGCTCAAGCAGTAGAGTGCCTGCTTTGTAAGTGCAAAGCCCTGAGTTCTGATTAGAAGAAACATAAAATACTTCCCTCATCATGGCAGGATTATATGAAGGATGTCTGTATTTTATAGTTGAAGAACTAGAAAAATGCTACTGGCAATAAGATTAAGTAAAAACTATACAGTAAGCCTGCCTTATTCACAGATTTATCAAGGTAAAAGGCGGCATGTCCTTGGTGGAAGTCAGGCGGCATTATGGGGAAAATGAGTGGAGCATCTGCAGCATTTGAAATAAAAAGCATGAGATAAACTCTAGTTTTAGGTGAGCTGTATTGATGTGTGCAACAGTGATTGCTAATGTGAGTAACGTGATTTGAAGTTATGGATGCTCAGACCTACTATATGTACAGTATAGGGAAATTTGAGTAATTTCGGAATAATGAACACTAATGCATCCTGAGCATTCAGTTTTTCTTCCACAGTGGTCTCCTTGGAACCAGGGAGGCCAAGGGTCTACTATAATGAAATAGGAACACTATAGAGCTGCGTAAAAACAAGTGCATCAAAATGAACAAAAATAATAGTTTGAATAGAAATCAAACTACTGTGAAAAAAAAAAAAAGACAACTACCTGCCCTTCTCCTTATTGCACAATCTTTTTTGTTTGCTTACTTGTTTGTTTTGTTTTTTTGAGACAGGATCTTACTACATACTTACAACTCTCAATTCTTCTGCCTTTGCCTCCTGAGTGTTGGTATTACAGACATGTACTGTCATGCCTAGTTACGCTCAGTCTTTTAGCTTCCAGAAACTATGAAATACACTCAGAATAAACTACCACAAAGAATCAAAAACTACAGCCGGGCGCTGGTGGCTCATACCTGTAATCCTAGCTACTTAGGTGGCAGAGATCAGGAAGATCAAGATTCAAAGCCTGAGGCAAATATTCCTGAGACTGTACCTCCAAAAAAAAAAGCTTCACAAAAAAGGGCTGGTGGACTGACTCAAGGTGTAGGCCCTAGGTTCAAGCCCCAGTACCGCAAAAAAAAAATTTTTTAATAAAAAAAAAGAACCAAAAACCATATGATCCAAGAACAAAAAGCCCAGAAAGAGTGATACTGGATACTGAATTTAGTAGAAATGGCAAATATGCTTTTTCAGACTAAAAACATCAATTAATCCCTAGCCAAAAAAATCAAAATTTGCAATGGTCTGTAACAATGTTAGGCATTTTCCCAGTACAATGGCAGAATTTTTCTAAGAAAGATGCGTTTAAAAAGGGATTTCTAATATCCTGCATCTTTGGTAGAGGCAACTAGCCATACAATAAGAAAAATGACTAAAGGAGGCTTGACTTAAAAAAAGATACATCTTCAGATGTCAAAGAGGATCAGGCTTACTCTACATTGCTCCTACAACTAGAAGCAATGAGAAGTTGCACAGGTAGATGTGGACCAAATATAAGGAAGAATCTCAATGATTAGAGAAGCTTAATAATGAAGAAGACTGTCTCAAAATTGCTCACAGAACTAGAGAGCTAACTGTCACAGGTACTTCGAAGAGACTCTTACAGCAACAAATCTGGAATATGTCCATATCACCATACGGAATGAGTCTATGAGGTGTCTAAAACGCCTTCCTAATAGAATGCAAATTATATTTGAACCCTTCTATTCCAGAACACAGGATTCAATTATTTAAATACTATAATTCCATATAATGATCACAAGTTCAAAGTTATACTTTAAAGCTCTCACTTGCTCAGTTTTACTGTTTATCACTAGAAAACCAACAGAAACAAAAACATCCAAATACTGACATATTTTACATGACCAAATTTCCTGGCCTAAATAAAGATTTTATATTTTGGAAGCCCTCCTTATATAGTCCCACTTAAAGTATTTCCTCTGTGATAGAAACCACCACATCTGCTCTCATTAATCTGCTTTCAAAATTTAGTATAAGTGAGTAAATAAATAATTTTACAAGAAGTACAAAAACAAGTAAAATGAGAGTCTAATTCCCCTTACTTATTAAACTCACCTGCTTAAAAGACTAGAGCATGGAGGAGGAAAATTCTGTAATATGCTTACAGCCCAAGTTTTGTTTCAAAGTTCTAAAAGTTTAATAGGCTAGTAATTAGTTATCTGTTAAATCTCTCACAAATCAAGAGAAATTATATATTGCAAAAAAAGATGTAGAAGAGAATAATGCTAGCAACAAAAAGTTACATTCAGCATTTGAATTATTTCTACTACTGCTTTAAGGCAACAAATAAGACTACTACAGACCACGGAAATCTGAATATATGTGAATGTGACAGTCCTCATCAAACCAGCCAGCTGATGCAGCAATGCTAGCAGATTATACCCCTTAGCCAAAAAGTATTTTTTCTGTATTTCATTTATTCTAAACAGACCTCACAGTTATGATACCCATACAAGAAGAGTACATTTCATTCCAAGTATCATTTCACAAGAGTTCTAGTTAGGGGCTGAGGATATAGCTCAATGATAGAGCACTTTCCTAGCATGTAAAAGGCCCTGGGTTCAATCCCCAGCACTGCTCCCCCCCAAAGAAAAAAGAAAAGAGAAAGAAAGCTATAGCCAGGTATGATGGCATATACTCTTGTAATCCCTGCACTTAAGAGGCAGAAGCTGGAGAATCATGAATTTCAAGCCAGCCTGGGCTACATACAGAGACCCTGTCTCAAAAATAAAAGCAAGCTGGGAGCAGTGGCTCACACTTATAATCCCAAACTACTCCAGAGGCTGAGATTGGGAGGATTAAGGTTTGAGGCCAGCCCAGGAAAAAAGTCCTCAAGTGGGCTTGAGGTCTGGCTCAAGTGTCAAAGCATCTAACTAGCAATCTTAAGTCCCTGAGTTCAAACCCTAGTGCTACCAAAAAAACAAAAGAAAACAAAAAAAATCCCTAAAAAGACAAAAAAAAAAAAAAAAAAAACCCAACAACCAACCAAACAAAACACAAATTATAGTTAACAATAGCAGGCAGAAGCATTAAAAATAGCAGGCAGAAGTATTAAAAATCCAATACATTTAATACATTGTATTAAAGCCCTTAAAAAGAGCAGCACAGCAGCATTCGCTCCATCAAATTTAGATTAAAACTCAATCCCTGACCACCTATAAAGATAAAATCTGCACATGTTAAAATCGATAGTACAGAGACTAATTAAAACAGTAACAATTAGAAGATTAGAAGATTTCATTCCTAAT